TGTTCTCTCTTAAGAAACCTTGAAAGAAGCCCAAACCAAGATCTTCTCCACCTCACTGAACTTGTTCTTGTCTCCAGGCCCCGGGGCACTGTCCCTCTCTCTTGCTCATTCGAGGAGATCCATGTGTCTCGCCCACTGTAGTTCAGTAACAGCCTCCAAATCACCCAAGGCTAAAGACCAGGACCTTTAGGAAATCTGGCTCAGCTGCTCTCTTAAGAAACCTTGAAAGAAGCCCAAACCAAGATCTTCTCCACCTCACTGAACTTGTTCTTGTCTCCAGGCCCCGGGGCACTGTCCCTCTCTCTTGCTCATTCGAGGAGATCCATGTGTCTCGCCCACCATGTAGTTCAGGCTGGGCTTCAGCTCATTACATAGTTCAGTGTGGCCTCCAACTCCAGAACATCCCCCTGCTTTGGCTTCCTGAGTGCTGAAATTTGCAGAATGTTCTACCATGTCCAGCCCTAGGGCCTTCTTCAAAGAATATCAGTGATGGCCCCAGACCCAAGAAGCCATTGCTGTGCGTAGCCAGAGGTTGGAGGTTCGACACTCCAGGGCCAAGTCCTCCCACACAAGGAAACCAGGAGCAGACACATACTCAGATAACTTCTAGGGCTGCGACACCAGAAGATGTACTCCTGTGTGAGAGCATTACAGGGCATAAAACATGTGAGAGCTCAGTGAATCAGTTTTTAGTGCATATCATTAAATTCTGACTTCACAACATTTTGTCACCCATTGCTTTTATGGAACACCTTTAAAACTCCATCAGGGGTAGTCACAGGAAAATTGTAGGAGGGACAGATGGAGGAGCCACATTAAGTAGCTGTAGCTAAGGCATAAAAAGACAGATGTTAAGAAAACAATGCTGTGGCAGAAAGTGTAAAGAAAGACTGTTGGGCAAAGAAGCAATCTATGAGTGATACAGAGCCTAAGAGGTAAAGGCCATTGCTTACAATGATACTAATTTTCTGTCTGCAACGTTGACTATCCATTGTTTATGCTGGCCCAATACCAGCTAACGCATCAGGACCAGACAGAATATTAGTATCAAAACTACAGTGAGCGCTGTGCCCAGTCCATTCGACAGAAAGGCAGCATGTGCAAACCTGACACCATGCCTCAGCCACTTCTTTGCTGGATTTGGCACCTTCCAACTTCCGGCTCTTCCCCAAAGTCAAAAGGACCACGAAGGGTCAATATCTTGAATCAGTGCAGGGCATCGAGGCAGCCACAACAGCAAAACTGAAGACCTTCACCAAAGAGGACTTCCAGAGCTGCTTCCGGAAGTGGCAAAGTTAGTGGACAAATGTGTTCAGAGCAAGGTGGAATGTTCCGAGGGGGGCTGATGACAGTGTGTCTTTTACTGTATACATTTTTTAAAATCTAAATGCTCACCATTCGTCATACCTTCTACACTGGGCTGCAGAGTCTCCGCTTCCTCCCGGACCTCACCCTTGCTATCTGTCTCTTGTTCTACCAGTCTGATGGAGTCAGCTGCCCCAGGACCCTGTGGAGAGGACCAGGTGAAGAGGAGCACAAGGGAAGCCTGAGGTTGGCACTTACAAAGAAAGCAATTCCCCAGGCACCAGTTCACAGGACCAGAAAACTTCTATAAGCCACCCAAGTCAGCTAGGAAGTGGCACCCCTGGGTCCCAGCTTCAGACGGTCCCTGGCACCAAGTGCCTTCTGACAGTACAGCCTGTAAGAGCCCTAAACTGGGCACCCACAGAATGACACACACTCCTGACCACAGAATCAGTCACAAAGGTGTGCTGGGCTTAACCACTGAGTGGTACAAGCAAATTAGTCAGACCGAGAGCTGCCTCTTTGAAATTATTAAGAAAAATTATAAATCCCCATAAAGTTTAGTAAAAGGAAAGAGTATAAATGACAGCTATCAGGAATGACAAAGGGACTGTAAATACAGATTCGACAGATGTTAAAAAGATAATGTGGCATACTGTGAACACTTCGATTCCATTCCTCATAGGAAATGGTCAAATTACCTGATGAAATATACACCTTATTAACTAAGATGAAATGGGATATCCAGAAAGTGATAAATTACAAAACAGTTGAGTTGTCTTAATTGAAGACCCTTCCCAAAAAGAAAAATTTCAGGCCCACATGGTTTCTATCAAACATTTTAAAAGATGCAATACCAACCTTACACAAACTCTCAGAGGAGAATATATGAAAAAGAACATTTCCCAACCTACTTTATGAGGCCAACTGTTACAGTGTCCCCCCAGATGTCTTGTGTGTGGAAGGAGACCAGATCACAGGGACATTGTACTCGCCAGTGGTTCCATCCATTGATGAGTGAGTGGCTGTGTGTGCTGGAGGAGGTGGGCCTGGTAGGAGGTGGTCACTGGGGTGTGACTGGGAAGGCCGTGTTCTCATCCCCGACACCTCCTTCCTTTCTCTGCTTTCTGGTGGCCATTTAAGAAACAGCTTTGCTCCGTCAAGCCCTTCCACTATGATGTTTCTGCCTTGGGGGCAAGTGACCATGGAATGAACCCTCTGAAAACCGTGAGCCAAGTCCAACTGAGAAGTCTGAAATGACTGGTAGGGAGACAAGCAGAGACTGCCTGAGAGAGCTTCACAGGCATCCGCCCACAAGGACGTCAGTGTCGAAAGCTTTCACAGCATGGACAGACCATGCAGGTTACCTAAGCCACTAAAACACCCCCGTGAGTCTGGCACTGGAGGCTGGGCACCAGTCTGAGGGCCACGAGGGCCACTGCCACCTTCACCCTGGTGCAGAGCAAATTCATATCTAAGGCAGTGCCACGGTTTTCATTCGAAATAGGAACAGAAGACAAAGCCTAGAAGACAGAGAGGAAAGGCAAATTCTTCTTAGCCTCCTGCCCAGTTTTCTTAAAACCAAGCTTATATTTCTACTCTAAGCAGAAATTTGACGATTCTATAATTATAAGGCTGGCAGTGTTATCTGAGGAGAAATAAATTATGTAGGTGTTTTCTCTGCTCCTCACTGCGTGTTGCAAATGAGTCAGAGTAGAGAACATAAAACTGTTTAGAGCCAATTCAGGTCCCTAAAGAAGCCTCATTAAAGACTAAATACATCACTTCTGCGTTATGAGCATTGCGGTTGCTATTTGTAATTAGCTGTCTACCCTGGGTACCAGACGCTATTGTTTTATTGTAAGTATTGCGAAAATGAAATAACAAGAGAGGGCACATGAAGGACCAAGTGCAGAGCAAGGACGCATGTTATTTACTCGGAAGTATCAAAATACAGAAGACCATTATTTTTTAGATAGGTTTCAGCCTGAATTTATCAATGGCTGGTGGAAGCCGAGTTCCTTTTGAAAGACAGCAGGTGTTAAAACAATGAGAAATGACCTCTTTCACATCTGGGTTACAAAAGCTGTCTCAGTGTTTGCGAAAAAAACAGGACAATAATATTTTAAAAAAACATCCTGCCTCTGTCTAGTTCCTTTTCATTTTTTTCTCACACTGCGCAGTTTTATTTATAGAGAATAGAGGCAGCTTATAAGAAACACGCACACACACACGCACGCACACACACACATTTACACTCATTTCCCAGGGAAGTGACGCTTAGTGACGTAAAATGGCTCTGGCGTTGGGACGATCTATTCTTTCTGGAACACCACGCAGAGTGTAACCTGCAGATTGCTCATATCCCTTTTAAATTAGTCTACTAGCAAATTCTCAGCCAAATCTACCAGGTTAGATTCATTTCCAGTCCATGATATGCCTCAGGATGTGAGGAGAACAGCTGGAGGGAAGCCACAGTTCACAGGCAAAGCTGGCTGCTCTCTGGGGACGTGGATTCAGAGGTGGCGGGGTTCAGAGTGATTCTGTTCCCAATGATGGCTGTGTTCTGACTCTGGAAGGAAGAACTTGGGATACATCCCAAGATTTCTGCGAAGTAAAATTAGGAATGCTGTGCACTGTGATGTGGATTTTGAAGGGATACCTATATAGTTTAGGGCAGAGTCCCCAAGCTCCCCAGGCACAGACCCATATTGTTCCAGGTCCTGTTAGGGCCGAGGCCACACAGGAAAAGGTGGGTAGTGGGTGGACAAGCAAGGCCTTGTACTTACGGCCTTTCTCCGCCTCTCATGTCACCACCTGAGCTGCTCCTCCAGGCGGATCGGGGGATGTTAGATTCCCATAGGCGCACGAGCTCTGCTGTGAACTGCACATGCAAGGGGCCCAGGCTGCAGGTTCCTTTGAATCATACCAAGCTCCCTTCCACACCTGACTCATGGGAAAATTGTCTTCCATAAAATTGGTCCCTAGTGATCAAAAGTCTGGGGACCTCTGGCTCAAGAGACTGACCACCTACCACACGACAGCGGGTTGGTTGGGATTTGTGGCCCATGCATTACACATGTTATTCACAGAATCCTCCCAACCACACTCTGAAGTGAGTAGAACCACACCCACCATGAATTGAAGCCCACTCCCAAACCTGGGATTGCTTAGGAAGAATCAAAAGTGTGACCATCAGGGCTAGGGATTTAGCTCCCGAGTTCAATTCCCGGTACCAAAACAAACAAACAAACAAACAAACAAAAAAACTGTGACCATTAGATCTTGGGGTCTCAGCTGAGGTCTCACAGAGTTTTCCTCCATGATTCTGGATTAATGAAGCTCAGTCTGGACTCTGTTCCACTTCCCTATGCATACCTGACAAGGTTAGAGGGCCATCGGTTCCCCTTCATACAGATGTAATATCAGACATGAAAAGAGGCATATCACAGCAGACACTTTAACAGCGGGCACTTTAAATACTCCTGATATGTGGAGTGACTCTGAAGCATAGAAAGTGCCTCTTCCATCCGGTTTAAAGGAGAAGGCTTTCCAATTCACCGTGAACTTCCCCCACCTTTCCACTTTCATCTTTCCTGGCTGCTTCTCCTCCTGCAGGCCCACCTGAGTGGCACGCTGCAGCGGAATCAAAGCCCACCAGAATCTCCTTTTCCTCTCTGGGCCTTGAAGTGCCCATCAAATGAAGGAGGGCCCAGGTAGTCTCCGCTCTCAATTCCAGCACTCCAGACTCGTGATCGGTTGGGAACTCACCCTGGGAAGGCTCCACTCTGCCACAGGTTACCTGAGGAAGACGAGCGGCACTGCCAGTGGTGTCCAAGCCCTGGGTGTTCACACACTATGATGCGAGCTAAATCTCCTGGATATCAACCATGGCAGTCAGATGGGCACTGTGGTGCTGGTAGCCACATGATCCTGTTTTTCCAGCATGTGACAATGTAAAAACCATTCAAGACACCATATGAAGTGCTTTGAGTGACATGGTGGAAGTGGGGTCTTCTTGTTGGGTAGATGTTGCTGAAGATGGCTCAAGAACATGGAAAGAGCCAGATGTGCTGTGCACACCTGTAATCTCAGCCCTCTGAGAGGTTGAAGCTAAAAGACCACAGGTTTAAGCCCAGGCTGGACAACACAGCAAATTAGCAAAACTCTGTGTCAAAATAAAAAATGACTGGGGATTTATCTCAGCGCAAAGGCCCTCGATTCAATCCCTAGAACAATGAAGGAGAGACAGAGAGAGAGAGAGAGAGGAAGAGGGAGAGGGAGAGGAGAGGGAAGAAGGAAGGAAGGGAAAGAGGCTGAGTAATGACTAGTTGTTCCAACTGACCAACTTCATTCATCATCCTAATTAAACATCCAGCTCTTATTTTCAAGTGAACCTGCCTTATAATTTGCCTGATGACTGTGTAGCCTATTTTCAAATGCCAGGGGAGCAATTAAAGTACTGCAGGAGACTGAGCAGCATCCCTCACTCTGCACACTAACACCCAGGCATGCAGGGGGCTAGGGGATCTATAATCACACCAAGGAAGGAAGGGACACAGGGGATGCTGGGCAACTCCCGCTGGGGGTGAGGAGCCATGCTGACTTCCCAGCATGCATCTGGACATTGCAGAAAACTCACAGAGGCTGCCATGGATAGGGAATTCAGCTCGTGCCCCTTGCAGACAGCACACTTGCACATCCCAAGACTCCCAAGACCTGCCCTGCCTCTCCTGTCCTCCAGGCTCCCTGAGCACCTCCGCCTCCTTGCTGCAGTTCCTGCAGTGTTCAGCAGCCTGGTCCCTGCCACCACTTCTGGCTGTGGTCCCATTGCAGGCTCCTTCCAGATGCCTGGCACCGAAACGCAGCTTGTGCTATGAAGAGACACTAGTATGGCTCTGAATTTCTCCATAGTTGTTGCTTCCTCATCCATCCTCAGCCTGTTGCTCAAAAGTCCAGGCCCTGATTTTTATCCATGCTCCCCCTTCTACTCTTGTCCTCTCTCCCTATATATGTTATATATATATCAACCAATGTATATGGAGAATAGTTAGCTATTTTAAAAATGTATTACAGCAAGACACATTGCCATGAGTCCCCCTCGAAGAGCTCCCCCTCACTTTGAACACACTTAGCCCATCGTTACTGCCATTTTCTGGAGCCGTTCTGCAAGTGCTCTTCTTGAGTGTCTTTATGATGTGTGATTAAATAAGTCTGGTGAATGCTGCTCCCCAAGGCTGTCCAACAGAGAGGCAACTCGTAAAAACATCACAGTGTGCCCTCACCTCTCATAGTGACCAGACCTAGTACTGCATGACTTCTGGGTCTTCCTCAAAATCAAAATGACCATGAGACTTTATGCATTAAATCAATCTGGGACACCCAGGCAGCTGCAATCGTGCAACTAAAGACACAAAAGGAAGGGCTGGGGATTTAAGTCGGTAGTTTGATGCCTGCCTCGCAAGCACAAGGACCTGAGCTCAATCCACACTACCAAAACAAAAACAAAAAAGACACAAAAGGGGCATCCCCTCAAACAGAAACTACTGCTCTGCAGTCACTACTCACTCTCTCCTTCCCCCAGCCCTGTGACCTCGAATCTGTCTCCCTGCTCTGTGGATCTGCCTGTCCTAGGCCTTCATACTCAGTGGAATCGTGTGATGTCTGTCCCTGTGTGGCGGCTGGCTTAACTCGACTAGGATAAAGTCCTCATGCTCCCTCAGTGCTGTAGCCGATGTCAGAACCTCATTCCTTCCCCTGGCGTCACGTCAGCCCCTGGGACTTCACGGTCACACTTTGTTTATCCACCCACCTGCCCTTCTCGTCTCCCTCCAGGACCCTGCCTCAGGATCATGCCAGCTCTGCTCCTAAGCCTCCATAGTTCTGTGCCTGCCAGATGTCAGTTCTTGACAAGCCTGTCCTAGGTCAAACAGAAATACTAACTACTGAATGCAGTAGCCTCTGCAGTGGACCCTCGAGTCAGGACTGATTTGACATACAAACAATTTGGGTCATGACCAGAGTTTTAGTTTTAACTTACAAACAAAGTCTTGAGCCATGACCTGAATCCAAGCCACTTGTGCTTCCAGAAGGTCTCAGATACAGATTTAACCCTTGAAGGGTTCTGGAAGGAACATGACAGCGTCTTCTCCTGTGTGGGGGTTCAATGAGAAATCCTGGGCCAGAGTCTCTCTAAGGACACCAAGCTCTGCCTGTGTGGAGGAGAGAGACTTTGAGGGCTGTGTAGAGGAGCCTGAGCCCCCACTGGCCAACCTGAGTTACAACCAGCCCTCAGGAACAAATTGAGTTCATAAGTCAAGAGTCCACTGTACCATCTCCTGTATCTCTATAGCATTGCTCACACTGTCTCCTTCACTGGAAGGCTCTGCTGCTTCCTCGGGTCAAGGCCCAGCCATTCTTCACACAGCCAGCTCCAAGTGCACCTGCTGCACCACACTGGCTTCTTCCCCATGGGCAAAGCGACCTCTCTCTTCCAAGCCCCCAGAGGACACCGTACTGTGGCATCTACTCATCTTGCCCCATTAGAGCACCTGCTCACCTCCAAGAAGGCTCAGCTCCTTCAGGCATCTTCTATCAAGGAGAGGGGCTGTGTTCTCTGCAGGAGCCCAGGAAGTATCTGTCTAGCAGGCTTTGTGCACATTGAGAGGGCAGGAAGAGGAGTCAGGCCTGGCAAGCAGACTACGAGGCTGTACAAAAAGAAAGATATTTACATCTTGCATGGAATAAATCCAGTTTAAAATGAAGCACTGAGGAAGAGATAATGATCAGTGGAGAAGAAATTAACTGAGAGGGAAGTCAGAATGACTTCAGTCTCTGATGTCTGGCAAAGCACAGAGCATGGTTACTAAACAAAACAAAAGTTAATATTTTCATGTAGAAAACAGAGTGACATTCTTAACACCACTGGGACTCAGGATGAACTCAGGGGTTGGGTCCAGTAGCACAGAGGGGAGCATAGGTCGCCTGGAGGACAGGGCCACTCTGTCCTTGTGGAGTCTCCTCCCTGGTCAAGGGTGCTGGCTGTGCCCTCCCACTGGCCCAGCTATGATTGGCATCTGCAGCTGAGCCTTCTGGTGGTGTCTTTTTGTCTTGCTGTTTTACTTCTTCTGTTACTGGGGAAACAGGACTTAAAGAGGAGTAGGAGGAGGCTGGCACTTGTAGAAGGTGCAGGGGATGCCCCTCTAGTGGGACCTCTTTTGATTGGGTGGGGGAGTGACTGCCACCTTGTGGCAGGAAAAGGCCCTGCTCATCCTTGCAGCCAGGCTTGTCTCAGGTAGAAGAGACAGACCGCTGCTCCTGAAAGTTTGAGCCCTGGCATCCACCTTCAGAGACATTCAGATGTACATAGTGAACCAAGTCCCTTGCTGTAGCCGGATTATCATGGTGTGAGGGATACAAAATTTTTTTCTATTTTTTCTCTCTCCCACCTTTCTTGATTTCTCTCCTTACTTGTTCTTTTTCCTGTCCTATTTCAGATTATTTTCTTCTTTCCTTCTCTCCATTGTCCTTATTTTTGTAGGAAAGTTAATGCAGGTTTTAGCTTCCTTGGTGCTGTTTGTTTGTTCTGTTCTTGTCTTTGTTCCTCCCCTCTGTCTTTTCCTCTCATCTTCACCAGTTTCTCAAAGTTTGCATGATCTTCCTGAGTCTTCTGGCCTCATTTCTAACCTTTCCCTCTTCTTCTATCTTTATCCCTCCCTCACCAACTCCATCTAAGTCCTCATCCCAAAGCATAAATCTACTATATTAAAGGGCTTATTTATGACATACATATTTCAGGCTGGTCCTTGATTTTGATCTAGCTCACATGGTTAAAGGTGGTAACAAATTAAGAGTTACCACAGTTTGTCATCTTCTAAACTGTGTTTGATGCTATTTTTCAGGATGATTGCACTACTTGGGCTAAGGTGTCATAATTGCTCTAATCAGTTGTCCTTCCTGGTACACTGAAAATGAGATTGCCTAAGTGTCACTAGAGACTCGAAACCTAAAGACGAGCTATACGGGGAAGACACCTCTGAGAAGTAAGCATTCCTTCAGGGTTCTAAATACTAACGATAAAGATACTCACAATAAACAATATAGAAGTATCAACCCAGGAATTAAGCCAAAAACATCAACAACAACAACAAAATAAGAAGAACCTAAACAAGGTGTGAAGCCAGACTTCCAACTTACCAAAAGCAGATCCTGGCAGCAATGAAGGGGAAAATCTGATAATCAACCACCAGGACACCCTGAACTGATAACATGGGAAGTAACAAGACAATGAATGAGGCTCTAAAAAATTCAAAACAGAAATGATTTTCCAGATAACTACAGAGGTGGTAAGCAGAATGAAAGTCATGATTAGAGACTCTAGAACAGAAACAGATTTTTAAAAATAGATAGCTCAGGACCATGATGGAAGCCATGAACACCCAGCATAGGAAAGAAATGGAATCCATGGAACAGATTCAAACAAATATCCAGGACATTAAAAACTGCATTGAAAGTATTCACCACAGAATGAGCCATGTGAAGACAGAATATCAGATACACAAGACAGGATTGTGGTTAGTGACCATGAAGAGAGATTTCTTAAAAATAGTAAGGGACCATGAGAAATTAATCTTGCAGCTACTAGATGATGCAAAGAAGAATAACATGAGAATGACAGGAGTCAACAAAACAGCAGGAGAAAGAATAAATGACATTAAAAACTGTTCACAGAAGTAATGTCAGAAAAGTTCCCAAGCAAAGGAAAACAATTTGGCATACAGATAAGTGAGGCATACAGGACTCCAACTAGCTAAGATAAAAAAATAAAATAAAATAAAAATCTGCCAGGGATTTAGCTCAGTGGTTCTGCCACCTGCTTTGCAAGTACAAGGTTCTGAGTTTGATCCCTGGTACAAAAAAAATCTACACCTAGATATATAATAGTCAAGATCCCAGAAACCCAACAGAAGAACAAAATATTGCAAGCACTTAGAAGAAAGAAATAAATCACACACAAAGGAAAGCCCATCAGAATCACAGTAGATTTTTCAACACAATCCCTCAAGTCAAGGAGAGCCTGGAGTGAAGTATTTTAAGCCCTAAAAGAAAACAACCTCCAACCTAGATCAATGTATTCTGAAAATCTATAATTAAAATACTTCCACAACAAATAACACCCAAGAAACATCATAAATACCAAACCAGCACTCCAAAAAATTCTAAGCAATATCCTAGAAAAAGACAATGAGGGTCAAAACCACATGAGGCCCAAGAGAGTGAAGCCATCAAGCAAGGCACAAAATTAAATGGAAAGGGAGGGGGAAAAATGAGAGCCAACAACAGAAAAATATCATGACAAGGATAAGTCAATATGTATCAGTTATAACCATCAATATTAGTGGCTTCACTTCCCCAATCAAAAGAAATAGACTGGCAGATGGATTAAGAGGCAAGATCCAATGATATTTTGTATACAAGAAACACTTAATTCAGAAAGAAATTCATAGGCTGAAAGTAAAAGGATGGAAAACAATTTTCCATGTGACAGGAACCCAGGAAAAAGCACAGGTAGCTATCTCATTTGCACACAAAGTAGATTCCAAACCAAAATGAATTAAGAGAGATGAAGGTCACTACATCCTTATAAAGGGTACAGTCCAAGAGGAAGAGAAGACAATCATAAATATATATACACCCAATACTAATGCCCCCAACTACACAAAAGAAATATTAATGGACATGAAAAACCAAATAAACACTAACACAATTGTAGTGGGGGACCTCAGTACCCCACTGTCACAAATAGGTAGATCCTCGAAACCAAAAAAAAAAAAAATAATCAACAACAAAATACTAGAACTGAACCAAACTTTTGAATAAATGGACTTAATAGATGTCTGCAGTGTTCACCCAACAAAATTAGAATATACATCCTTCTCAGCTGCACATGGATCATTCTTCAAAATAGACCACATGCTAGCTCATAGAACATGTTTAAGCAATTGCAAAGGAATTGAACCTATTCCTTGTATAGTATCAGACCAAAGTGCAATTAAATTGGAGATCAATAGCAAAAGAAACCACAAGAACTACACAAACACATGGAAATTGAATAACACCTCCTGAACAACCAATGGGTCACACAAGAAATTAGACAGTGTCTATAACTAAATGATAATGCCAATACAACACATAGGAATTTATAGGACACAGTGAAAGCAGTTCTACAAGGAAACTTCATAACAGTGAATTTCTATACAAGGAAAACAGAATGACCTCAAATAATCTGATGCTAAACCTTAAACTCCTACAAAAAGAAATGCAAAACAAGCCCAAAGCTCATACAAGGGAGGAAATTATGAAGATCAGAGCAAAAATCAGTACAATGGAAACTAAGAGAACAATATTAAAAAATCAACAAATCTAAGACTTGGTTCTTTGAATGAATAAATAAAACTGAAAAACTCTTAGCCAACCTCATTAAGAAAAGGAATAAAAAGCCTCAGATTCATGCAGTTAGGAATAAAAAAGGTACAGTCACAACAGATCCAGCAGAAATCTGGGGATCATCTATACCTACTTTGAAAATCTGTACTCCAATAAAATGAAAAACAGAAGAAATGGATGGATTTCTAGATGCATATGAACTACCAATGTTGAATGATGATGATATAAAAATTCTAAACACTCCAACATCAATCAGTGAAATTAAGACCATAATTAAAAACTTACAAAGAAAAGTCCATGTCCTGATGGTTTCACTGCTGAATTCTACAAGAAATGTAGGGAAGATCTAATGCCACTACTTCTCAAACTCTTTAATGAAATTGAAAGAGAAGCAATACTCCCAAATTCACTCCTGGAAACAAGCATCACATTGACCCTGAAAGCACAGAAAGACCCAACCAAAAAAGAGAACTACAGGCCAATCTTCTTAATGAACATAGATGCAAAAATCTGCAATAAGATACTAGCAAACAGAATACAAAGGATCATCAATAAGATCATACACCCTGACCAAGTGGGATTCATCAAAGGGATATAAGGATGGTTCAACATAAGTGAATCAATAAATGTAATAAACTATATTAGCAGAGCCAAGGACAAAAACCATATGATCGCCTCAATAGTTCAGAAAAAGCATTTGACAAAAATCCATCACCCATTCATGATAAGAATTCTACAGAAAATTGAAATAGGTGGTCCTTATAAAAGTAATCTATAAAAAAACCAACAGCCAACATCTTAGTAAATGGTCAAAAACTGAAATTCTTCATGCTAAAATCAGAAACAAGACCAGGATATCCACGATCATTATTCCTGTTCATTATAGTTCTGAAAACATTTGCCATAGCAATTAGACAAGAGAAAGAAAAGCAATAAAGATAGGAAAGGAAAAGGTTAAACCATCATTATTTACTAATGGCATGATACTCTACATAGAAGACCCCAAAAACTCTGCCAAAAGACTTCTAGACTTAATTGCCAGATTCAGCAGAGTAGCTGGCTACAAGGTCAACACTCAAAAATCAATAGGCTTCTTGTACACAAATAACAAACTCACTGAGAGAGAAGTTGGGGAAACAATTCCTTTCACAATAGCATCCAAAAATGAAATATCTAGGAATCATTCTAACAAAGGAACTAAAAAAACCTCTACCTTGGAAACCACAGCACTCTAAAAAAAAGTGATTGAAGAGGATATAAGAAAATAGAAAGACATCCCTTATTCCCAGGTAGGAAGAACCAATATAGTGAAAATGGCCATACTTCCAAAACTGCTATATAGCTTCAATGAAATCCTGATTGAAATCCTAACAGTATATTTCACAGAAATAGATAAAACAACCCAAAAATTCATCCAGAAGAGACCTAGAATAGCAAAAGCAGTTCTAGACAACAAAGACGGATAGGAGGTATCACAATCCCCAACTTGAAACTATATTATAAAGCCATTGTGATAAAAACACCATGGTAGTGGTGAAGAAATAGACCTGAGGATCAATGGAACAGAAGTCATGAAACAACTGTAGTCACACTAAGTCACCTTATCTTTGACAAAGAAGCAAAAAACCTTCACTAGAAGAAAAATCACCTCTTTAATAAATGAAATTGGAAAAACTGGATTTCAACTTGCCAAAGATTAAAACTAGACCCTTTTCTTTCACCATGCACTAAACTAAAATCCAAGTGGATCAAAGATCTAAATAGTAAAGCAGAAACATTAAACCTGATGGAAGAGAGGTTAGGCAGAACTCTTGAAGATATTGGTGTAGGAAAAGACTTTATGAAAAACGTCAGTAGCATGTGAAATAGCATAAAGAATCAACAACTGGTATCTTATCTTATTAAAAACTTCTGCACTGCAAGAGAAACTACCAACAGAGTGAAGGGACAACCCACAATCTGGGGGAAAAAATGTTCCCAGCTGTTCCTCAAAGGGCTACTATTTAGAATATATAAAGAACATAAAAATAATACAACCTCCCAAATTTAAAGACAGTTCAAAAAGAGGCATCTGAAATGAATAGGCATTTCACAGACAAAGGAGTTGAAACAGCAAATAAACATAAAAAAATGTTCAACATTGCTGGTCATTTGAGAGATGCAGATGAAAACAACACTGAGGTTCCATCTCAGTCCAAAAAGAATGGCTGCTATCAAGAAATCAACCAATAACAAATGCTGGTGGGGTTGGGGGAGAAAGGAACCCTTCTCCATTGTTGGTGGTACTGTATACGTGCAACCACTGTGGAAATTGGTGTGGAGATGCCTCAAAGAACTAGGATTAGAGGTCCCAGTTGACCCTGCTATTCCCAGGCTTCTTCTATCTGCCTCTCTGTCTATTGCAGATAACCCCATACAGTCCTCTTCGGACCTCCAGATATTACAGCATTAGCATGGAAAGCCTAGAGCTACTACAGACATTTTATGACCACAAAGAGTCATTCAGCATTCTCACTGAGAGCCCACAACATGAACAGACAAGGCCATGCCTGATCCCCGGTGCTGTCACCACTAAGCCACTGTGTTCATCAGCTGACATGGCCTCCCCTGTATTCTTAGAGCCTGGGCGGTGAGAGTCCTCTTATCGGTTAAGACTCCGGACATGGGGTTTTCTGTTCTTTGCATGGTAACAGGCTAATTTATTATTTGCATCATTGACATGCTAACTTTACATGAATGCTATAGTTTTGGAAGCTTTCAAATTTGGAAACATTAACTTTAGTGAGTAGAAATATTCTTGGGTTGCTCTTTCTCCCAAGAATTCTGTAAATATCGCTTCCTTCTCTGTCTGATATCAACAGCTATCTGATGCTATGCAGATTTCTCTACCTTTTCTTTGGGAAGTCCGCTAATGTATCTAGCACATCTTGGACTAGGTTGTTCTGTGTCATTTGTTCCTGGAACACAGAACTCTTGATCTGCAGATTAATTCCTTTTATGTTAGGAATGTTTTCTTATAAATGTGAAAAAATTCTAACAGTGAAGTTGTCTTGTTCAGAAACATTAACTCTTTTCGTTGCTTAAAAATGTGCCCCTTTCTTCTGCACACTTGTGATTCTGACAACTGAATCACAGTTGTCCTCAGTGGATTATACCTGGTCTCATTCTTGGTTCTTCTAATTTCCTATACTAGATTATTTCTGATTTGCTTTCAACTTCCTTAGCTGTGTAACCTTTTTTTCCCTTCTCATTTTGTTGCATGAGTCTCTGTTAGTTCTCGTTTTATTAAACAGGTGATCCTTATTAGCTTATTCTCGAACATGGAACACACGTAAAGAACTTTTTTCTTTTAATTCTTTGATCCTTCACATGCCTTGCCAGCGCCTTTTTTTCTTCCATTTTCATTAAGGCCCTGGATTGGGGTCTGCTTTTTCCCTGTATCTTATTCATAGTAGGCGTTTTTCTGGACGAATCTTCGGTTTGCTCAAGGGTAATTTGGATGGTTTCCCTTTGACCCCCTCCCACCGTGTGAGCTGTTTTTGCACAGCCCCGGGCACGCGGTGAGGATGGCCCTGCTTCCTCTATCTGTGCAGCGACAGCACGCTGCCTTCTCTTTGAGGTCCAGCAAACGCTTTCAGCACCAGTGCTCCTCAGGAGCCAAGTGCCCTCACCTGCGACAAAGTGCCCTTTGGCTTTGAATTTTTGCTTCATGTCATGCAGGGTCCTAGAAAATGACCGGCCCTGCGACCTCCCCAGCTCTCCCAGGTCCTTCGGGCAGTGGGGGCAGCTGTTACTGAGGCTAGTTTTCTTCCCCAGCGGGGCTTGTGGGGCTGAGCTTAGATGCCACTCTCCAGGCAGCTCGTACACTGAGCGATGGCGGAGTTTATAGTGCGAGGTCACTAGGGATTTCTCCACCGCTGGTTGTGGGCTGGCCTCCATCCTCTCGCTCATTTCATCATCAACGGTGGGACAGCGATGCTGTGATCCTGACTCAGTCTATCATTCTTAAGCGATGTCTCTCCACGCTCCCCACTGTTCAGTGCCTAGGAATCTGCAGATTCTGAGACTTGCAAAGAAACTTCAACATCACTAAGGAAGAAAGACTAGCAGAGCTGAGGGGGCTGCAGAGCAGGCAGCAGGGAGCGCGCACCGCCGGGACCTGAGCGGCGGGGAAATGAGCCCCTCACCCCACTCCCCGGAGGGACCTACACAGTCCACCCGCCAAGCCCCCACAGTGGCCTGCCCGCGTCCTTCCAGCGGTTGCCCCGACAACAAGGGGTTGAGGCGCAGGCGCGCAGGGCGTAGGGCTGAAGCGCTGGCCCCTCGGAGCAGCATTGCGCAGGCGCAGCGTCCCGTTGCTAAGGCCGCCCCCAGTCCGCAGAGTGGCCCTGGAGAGGCTCTGCAGCAGCTTAGCTAAAACAGCCAGAGAGAGCGAACCCAGTGCCTTCGCTTTGCGCCCGGGCCCGTGAGGCAGGTCCCGCTGTCACCTCTCCCTACCCTGAGTGACAGGCTGTCCCTAGTTCCTGTCTGTCCCTTCGAAGAACCGGCAACCCCTGAACCCCTGTGCTCCCCGTGTTGCCTCACACCCACAGCTGACCAGAAGAGAAGGGAAAGTAGCCAGCCATGTCTAACTCGTAAGTGACGGCTCTGGGCTATAGCCGTGTGGTGGGCTCCTCCTCCTCCCTCTTCTCTCCTCCTCTCCGCAGCCTCCTCGACTCTTTCTTTATAATTTAGTAGATTCAGTGTGTCTCAGGCTAGAGCAACCACTCTTGTGGAAGAGAATATTCCACAGTTAGGTATCCCTCTTCACTGCGCCCCTGCTGGTGGGTTGCCGAGGAAGCTTCCGGTGTCTTCCTTGGTAATCAGTAAGTTGCTTGTGAAAACTCCCAGGTGCCAAGACTTGTGTCAGGCCAGAGCCTGAGGAGGCGTCCTTCACTCCACTGTCCAGCAGGGATCTGGACAGGGAGCCACGCGCTCAGCGCCTCCCAGCAGTTACCTTGTCTTCAGAACCATAACTTCCAACACATACGCATGGGCGCTCAGGGTGCCTGGCTCCAGGTTCTGGAAATGGAGCTGCTGTTGGAGCCTCCCAGCCACCCTGTGCTGCAGCACCTGCTCGAGTCATTTCACGGGAAGCTTGGGTACTGAAAGTTGAGTGCCTTCCAGAGAGCAAGCGGGTGGTGCAGAGCTGCTGCTCTGGCACTCATGGGACTGACCTGCCTTACAGGAACGGGGCCCCAGGGTGTTGGGGAGGGGACGCCGGGAGTGCCACCTGGGACCCGGTCAGTGTGAAGTGCCTGTTGGGCAGAAGGCCGCTGGGTGTTGAGGTGCTGAGCTCAGGAGGGATGTGGCCTTGGAAGCTGTCGGCTTAGGAGGTCTTTCCAAGACACAGGTGAGAAGCGACTGGACAACCCCAAGTCACCTGCAGGAGGAGATGGGGGAAAAACGGATACTGACAGAGGAATCAGAGCAGAACTGAAAGGCTGCAGTATCCTGGAAGCCAGGGGGGCTAATAGGTAGCATCACTGGGAGGAAAGAGTGATGCCTGGGACGTCAGAGGACCAGAACTGACTACTGGCGACCTTGGTGTGGCCTTGACTTCAGTCAATGGAGCAACCCAATGGAGAAAGTGTTCCAGAGAGCATCAGAGAGAGCAGGAGGAGAGAAAGTATAGAAAGCATCTTTCTAAAGGGATTTTTGCTGCAGGGGAAAGAAAATGGTGGTGACAAATGTTGGGACATCAGGACATCAGAGACAGAGGGATTTTGTTAATACGGAAGACAATACCTGGAAGGGACTGCCCCATGGTGAGGGAAGGGGTTCAGGGCAGGAGGCAGCAAGGTGGTGCTACCCTTGGGTGTGAGAGGATGCAGGATCTCATGGGGAGTAGGAGGCGCAGGTGGACAGGCACAGTAAAGTTCGGGCCACACATGACACACACCTGAAATCCCAGCACTCTGGGAGGCTGAGGCAGGAGGATCAGAAGTTCAAGCCCAGCCTGGGCAACTTAGCAACTTAGTGAGACCCTGTCTCATAATTTAAAATAAAGAGAGCTAGAGATGTAGCTCAATGATGCTCAGTGTGGAGGCCCCAGGCGCACTCCCCAGTACCAAAACAAAATAAAACAAAAGGAGATGCTGTGGGGCCGACAGATCCCCCCACTGGGGTGAGGGTGGGCCAGAAAGCTGGTAATTGGTGATGGTGACTTGAGGGACAGCAAGGGGGCCCCTGGACCCAAGCCTGCAGCCAGGGGCTGGAAGGCTCTGGGGAAGGGGCACCCACCCCAGGAGAGCACCTGGGGAATGCAGGCCTCCCTCAGAGCAAGACAGCGTCCTGTGGAGGAATTAGGGGGCTGTGTTATGTAGAACAGCGTGGAGAGCACCTCCACTCCACCTATTTCAGGTTCCTGTGGAATTCCGTAGTCCATAGAGGTCAGACTTTTCCCTGCCCGTCTCTACACAGCAGAAATAATCTGGCCTTTTCCAACTCTCACACTCAGTCTTCACCTGACCTCCCAGCTGTGTCCTAAGGGGCCTTATGGATGAGGTGAAGCACCCGGTTTACAAGGTGCACTACAATCTGAGGGGCCCTTCCTCATCCCGACCCCTCCTAGTCACCCCAGGTGTCCAGAGCAGGTGTCTTCACGCAGAGCTGCCCCCTGGGGAAGCTAAGAAATGCCACTGTCTGAGGTAGGTCTGTTTGAAATCCACAGCACTGTCGCCCTTAAAAGCCACCTTGCTTTTAAAATATAACAAGATGCATCTTCATAAAAACATGTGCAAGATCCAACAGCAGCATCACTTGCAGTAGCCAAAGGGTGGAGACAACCCAGCATCCTCCATCAGTGGAGAACTATGTGGCAATTAAAAGAAATAAAGGACCAGCCCATGCTGTACTGTGGCTGTACTTGGAAAACGTGTGCTAAGTTAAAGAACCAGCCACACGGGGCTACATCATCTGTGATTCCATTTACAGGTGGCCCCAACTCCGGACAGCTCCTTTTAACAGTGTGTCTAGTTAACCATGGCGGGGAAGTGGCATGGGTTCAGCAGAAGCTGTACTTTGAATTTCCAATGTTGATCTCTTCCCTGACTAAGGGTACACAGTTCAGTCCTCCCTTGGGATGCCGGGCAGTGGCTACACGCACATTTCCGGTTAACCCCTTGGTCACGAAGGGGACACTGGACACACAGAGCCTGGCGCTGAGCTGTGATGATCCATATATCAGGTGTACAAGACATGATTGGAAAGTACAGTGTGTGTCTGAATTTTTTAAATGTATTACAATAAAGGCATATTGCCACGGACCTCCTTAAAATATTTCTCCTCACTTTGAGTACGCCAATCTCGTCATTTTTGCCACTTCCTGCAGCCGCTCTGAAAGTACTCTTTCATGAGTGTCTTTAGTTGCACTCTGCTGGCTGCTTGATGACCTAAATGTATTCCAAACATTTACCTTTCATAGTTAATGGGGAAGATCACACGGTGCCAGACCCAGTGAATGCAGTTGATAAGGACACAGGGTTGTGTTTTACAAGCTGCCTTCCCATTGGCTGGCACTCAGCGGCAGCATTCACTGTGTTTTTTATCACACCTCAGAAAAATACTCTGGAAAGAAGACCCCAGAACTGATGCAGGAAGTGGCTAGGACTCTGGGTATGTGTTTGAGGGGAGAGGGAGGACTTTGAGGGAGATTTGTGGCAGAGTGTCTACTATAACCATTTTTAAAATTTAAATATTCACTGTATTTTTCAATCAGCTCTCACATTGAACACATTTTTGGCTTGTAATACTTTCAACTCACAATGGCTCTATCGGGACACAGGCCCTCAGGCAGTGGTGGAGCACCTGTGTATGAAAGCCCAGACACATAGAGGCAGGGACAGGATTCATGGTTGGGAATGGTTGGCAGGGCTGGGGACTCGAGAGTCATGGGTGTGCTTCATGGTGTGGGTGTCTTTGGGAGTGAGGAAAAGGTTCTAGAATTAGACAGTGGGGGCAGTTGCGCAAACCACTGAGTTGAACACTAGGGGGCAGCACTCCTGATGACCCCTTTATAGCCGGTCTTGCCCCATCCCCGTCTGAGGTTGTATTCGTGGGATGTCCAGGTGGGACACTGTGGTGGTGAGGTAGCCCGTTGGGGAAGTGGGCTTCACAGAGTGGTACAGCCCCGTGGCGAGGTTCCCTGCTCACAGTCTCCAGTTTGTTATTCCCAGCTCTTGTAATGTGAAATCTGTCCATCAGCCTCAAGATGTGGCTGTCTGTACATCTTGATTCTTGAGGTAGGAACTTTCCACTTGTCTTGATGCTCTGCATTCTAGAATTTTCTTTGGCTAGGTCTCAAGTGGCTCCCACCACAATAATTCTCAACTATTGAGTGCTCTTTCTTGGTTCTGGGAATGGGATATCTTTTTTTTTTTTTTTTCATTTCTTTCTCTTCACTCTTTACTTGTGTGTTTTATCTAAGTCTTTGCATTACTAACAGACTCGGTGTCTTTGCTACTGATTTTCATGGATTTTTGCCCTTTGTAAACTGTGGTGGTAAAAATCTCTTCTCCCCATCTCACCTGTAGCTCCTTTGTCCTTGTTCTCTCTGAGTTTTCTCTTTGGTCTCTGGTTTTTGCATACTGCATGAGGAAGTCCTCACTGTCCACATCTTGGAGTGTGGACAGGGATCTCACTTGGGTGGCGGCCGGCAGTCTGTCAGATGTCTGCAGCCATGACCTGAGCGTTTGCTGCTGTCTTTCTGCAAGTGGTCAAGCATTCCCAGGTGTTGAGCATCCAGCATCCCATGGCCACCCTTTCCGGGTTGAAGGAAGCAGAGCTTTTGATCCGATGCTGTGTTCTGCTTCCTAAATGGGATTTCTGCTCTGCATTCTAAACGAGATCAGTCCCGCCAGTGTTTTCCTGCCCAGTGTAGGCCCCAGACCCTACTTACTCCAGAAAATAAATCAAGCCCTGTTCTGTTGCCTGTGAGGAACCAGTGGTGTGCCCAGCCTGGGCTTTGGTAATGCAACAAGTGCTCACTGTCTCCACCCTTCCCGACTTCGTTCTCTCAGGGAACAGCTGAGACGGTGCTGTTACTGCTGTCTAAAGGCTCTGTTTTTCTTCAACTTATTTTCCCTTCCTCGTGTTCTTTCCCACCTGCTTGACTTTCTCAGGCCTGGCATGTGGAGTTCTGGAATATTCCAGGTGTGACATGTTGCTTTCGATGTTCTTTTCCAGCATAGCTATATTGTTCCCAGCCAGTAACTGTTGTGATTCACGACTAATGATGCAAGGAGCAAGTGCCCTGAGCTGAAGAAAATTCTGATTTTCTGAAAATGTTTTCATGATAAAGTTGTCTAACAGTGTTATTTCACTAGTAATATCTCCCTGCACCTTCTTTCATTGCAGTACTGGGGATTGAACCCAGGGCCTTTCCTCTAAGCTACGTCCCAAGTGCATTTTCATCTTGTATTTTGAGGCAGGGTCTCCTTCATTTGCCCAGGCTGGGCTTGAACTTGTGATCCTCCTGCCTCAGCTTCCCAGAGTGCTGGGGTTACAGGCATGTGCCACCATGCCTGATCACTAGTAATATCTTTTAAAATATTGCTAAATTTTGAGAAATCTAGTACCTGAACACACTGGGGAGGGGCACCAGAGGCAGAGTTCAGCATCCTAACTAGGGGTGTTGGGGCAGCAAGTGTCATTTGTTTGAGTCACGCCATCTTTGTGCTCGTGTGGTGGCACCAAGCCTGCACCCCTCACTTGCTTTCTTCCTGATAAACAGGAAGTGGCAGGGATTGGTGGTCAGAGTGTGAACTCTGGAGCAGATTGCCCAGATGCAAATCATACACTCAGATCCTATGAGTTAGACAATACCTGTGCCTCAGCTTCTCATCTGTAAACTTGACTGATGAAGGATTTCATATCCAGGATTTCTTTTTCCTTCTTTTTCAGAAACTCCATTGTTTTACTGAAGTGGTCTTTTATATCCTGTACTGTCTTTCTTCATTCATTCAGCTGTCTGTCTCTTCCTTGATCACGTTCACGATTGATTCACTCAGCTGCTCATTTGTTTCTTCTTTGATCTCATCCAATTAGCTTAAGAGTTTTTAATTGCTTGGAATTTTTATCCACTTCTATATCTGAGGGATCAATTTGGGGGAAGTTGGGATTTTTTGTTGTTGTTGGCATCTTGTGGCTGTCTTCTCATGATCTTTGTGTTTCCATGTTGAAGCTTACAGAGCAGTTCAGATGGGGACCTCGACCTCTATTGAGTGGAGGTCTTCCTAGAGAAGGGCTTTCTCTGGGTGATGTGTCAGTGTGTCTTCAGCCTGCCTGAAGTACTGTTTCATCCCTCTGCCTGCACTGCAAGGAGACTAACTACCAGCGCTATCAGCACCTGGGGAACTGATCATATATAAGGCAAGGGTGGTCGGAAAATGTAGTGAGTGTTTAAATAAAGAATGTTTATTACAGTAAGTGACACATTGCTGTGAGTCCCCTCAAAATACTGCCCTTCACTTCAAATGCACTTACTTAACCCATTGTTCTTGCCACTTTCTGAAACAGATCTGGAAGTCGCCTTTAATGTCTTTCCCGGGTCTGATAAAACCGAATGCCTTGTCCCAAAGGAAAGGGGGTCTTATAGAGACGTTACAGTGTATCCTCATTCACCTTATTCACTGGCTGTGAGTTCTGCCTCTTTCCCAAAGTCAAAATGATCATAGATAAACGTTTTGAGTGATTCGGGACATCAAGGCAGCCATGGCAGTGCACTTAAAGACACTCATGAAAGAGGACTCTGCCAGAACTGCTTCAGACAGTGGCAGGAAAGATGGAACAAATATGTTCAAAGCGAGGGGAAGTATTCTGAGGATTAATGGCCATGTGCCTGTTACTGTAATAATTTTTGAACCTTAAACAGTCATCATATTTTTATCACATCTCATAACAGCATATGATTTAAAACTTGCATACAAAGCTGCCAACTATTTCACATTTTTGTGTTTTTATTCATTTTTAATAAAACTTTTTTCATTTGTACAAGTTTGCACTACACAATAATTACATTCACTGTGGGTGTTGGCACACGCCCATGACGCATATCAATCCTTCCCCCTTCCCCTCCACCATTTTTTCCTATGCTTATTGGCCACTCATACTTCTTTTGAGAGCTACCTATTCAGGTCATCTGCCCACTCTTTGATATGGTTATTTGCTTTAAGGGTTCATTTTTTTAATTTTTTATGTATCCTTAATTTATTAACCCTCTACCAGAAAAGATTTTTCTCACATTCACTGGATTGTCTCTTTGCTCTCTGTTTCCTATACTGTATAGAAGCTTTTTTATTTGATCTAATCCCATTTGTTGATATTTTACCTTAATTCTGTGCCTCTGGAGTCCTGTTTTGGAAGTGTCTGCCTATGTGTTTGCGCTCAAGGGTTTCCCCTGTGTTTTCTTCAGAAGGTTCAAGGATTCAGGTCTTATGTCTAGGTCATTGATCCATTTTGACCTCATGTTGCTAGAGGTGAGAGTTAAGGGTCTACATCAGAACCATTTCTTAAAGAAGCTGCCTTTTCTTCAGCAAATGTTTTTGAGTCCTTGTCAAAAACTCAGATGACTGTAGGTGCATGGGTTGGTTTCTGTGACTTCTGTTCTATTCAGTTAATCTACTGCCTGTTTTTGTTCCAGGACCATGTTATTTTTGTCACTTATGGCGTTGTAGTATACCTTGAAATCTGGGGCTTGTTGTGCCTGTAGAGTCTTTTCTTGTTCAATATTGCTTTGGCTCTTCTGGGCCTTTTTTGTTTCCATGTGAGTTTTAGGATTTTTTTTCTATAAAGAGTGTTGGTGATGCTTTAATAGGCATTTCAGTGACTCTTAGATTGCTTTTGGTAATGTGGCCATTTTCACAAAATTCATTTTTCCAATCTCTAGCAAGGGAGGTCTTTTTATCTTTCTCGTCTTCTTCAATTTCTATCTTTGGTGTTCTCTAACTTTCATTAGAGAGGTTTTGCATCTCCTTGGTAGATTGATTCCTAGATACTTAATGTTTTAAACTATTGCAAATGTTATCAATATTCTAATTTCTTTCTTTTTATTAATGTACAGGAACACTGTTGATTTTTTATCCTGATACTTTGATGAATTTATCAAATCTAAAAGTCTGGTAGAGTGTTTTGGATCTTCCAAGTAAAGATTCCTATCATCTGCAAATAGTGATAATTTGACCTCTTTCTTCCCTACTTATGATTCTTACATTTCTTTCTTTTTCCTAATTGCCCTGGTTACACCTTCAAGTTCTCTATTGAACAGGAATAGTAACAGTGAATACTTTTGCTTGTCCCTGATTTCACAGAAAATGCCTTCAGTTTTTCCCCATCCCATATGAGCTGGCTATGGGTGTGTCATATATGGCTTCTACCAATCTGAGGTAAGATCCTTCCGTGCCTGTTTTCATTGAAGTATTTTTTTTTAATCATGAAGGGATATTGGGTTTTTTCAATGGCCCTTCTGCACTTACTGAATTTTTATCCTTGATCCTACTTATGTGGTGTAATTCGCTTCTTGATCTCCGTATGTGGAACTGTCCTTGCATCCCAGGGTTGAAACTAACTTCACCATAGTACATGATCTCTTTGATGTGCTGTGGAACTGTGTTTGTAAAGATCTTATTGAGGATTTTTGCATCTGTGTTCATTAATGATATTGGTCTTTTTCTTCTTGTGTGTTTGTGTTGCTGTAGACTCTTTGTCTAGTTTTGGCATTCGGATAATGCTGGCTACACAGAATGAATTTGGAATCATCTTTTCCCTTCCTGTTATGTGGAGAATGTTGAGGAGCATTGGTGATAATTCTCTTCAGAACTGATACGATTCAGCACTAAAGTGATCAGATCCTGGGATTTCTTAACTGGAAGAGTTTTAACTACTGCTTCAGTCTCCTTGCTTGTTATTGATATGTTTAGATTTATTGGAGCTTCTTGATTCAATTAATGAATTTATTTCTTTCCAATTTATGCATTTCTAAAAATGTATGTATTTCTTCTAGATTCTCCAATTTATTGGAATATAAGCTTTCAAAATAAATGCTGATAATCCTCTGGGTTTCAATGATGCTTGCTATAATTTTCTAAACTATTCATTTGGTAATTATAGCAGTAGCTGTACCCAAAGCCACAAGCTTATCAAGATATAAATGGTCTAAAATGTAGTACTCAGAGTCCTTATTTGTCTGTACATTATATTTTGTAGCACTAGATGACCAGTACAGTGAGTCCTCGACTTACAAACCTCAGGTTGTGAACTTTCATAGGTGCACTGTGTAAGATTCACATGTGTACTGTTTAAGACTCTTGTGAGATTACGAACAAACCCAACTCAACAAACATTCTCCTGGAATGGAACTTGTTTGTAAGCCAAGGATTTACCATATATATCCCTGTCAATATCACTTTAATTTGCTACATTGTCTGAACTCTCTGTTTTCCCTCAGAATGTATAACAAAATGTGGCACCAGACCCAAGAAGCCCTCAATTCTTTGCTTGATAAAGAATCTCAGCACATGACAGAACCACAAAGAAATCAAGTCTTCATCTTCCAAACGTTAGCCACGTTCTACATAAAATACGTGCAGATCTTCAGGAACCTGGAGAACATCTATGACCAGATAGTCCATCCGCAGAAGCGAATACTGATCCGAAAGATCCTGGATGGGGTCATGGGCCGCATCCTGGAACTGAAGAATGAAATGGTTGAGTTGGAATTGACTGAGTTCCATTATTTTGATGACATCTTACAGGACCTAAAGTTGGCTCCCGTAAGTACAGCAGAGTATTTTTTGAAAATAAGATATGTAGGCCTGTATCCACACTCTTACAGACTTTCTAGACACATTTACCTACGACTTAATTGTGGTATTAAAAGCCTAAAGATTTCCCTTCGGTTACACGATACTATCACAAACCGGATTTGGGTTCTGTTTGTTTTTGATGCAGGCAAATCTTGCACAGTCCTGGGCTCAGTTAGGTACAGAGGTCTGGTCTTACCAAACCCCATGGTTTCTTCCCAGGACTTTTGCATTGGAGCAAGTTGACCTGTCATAATATCCTGTAGCACAAGCCCTCCCAGCTCCCAGAGCAAGCCCCCTTTTGTGTTTCAGGGAAGTCTTTTTGACCTTTATTTTCCTTATCCCTATCTCCTGGATGGGAAGCCTGTTGGATGCTGGGTCTTTATTCCCCATGGATGCTAGTTCTCATGAGCCAGAGGGGACCCCGAAGCTTCATGGTGTAATATATGGTCCCCTCCTTTGGCCTCCCTCCCCATGGACCTCTCCCAACTGGCACCTGGTAACCTGGGCAGCCTTCTGTGGGCATTCAGCCCCTGCCACTCCCCTTCTGAACATGGCTGCCTGATGCCCACATGAGGTGTCTTCTGATGTTCTATCTGGCTGGATCTTCCAGGACTGTTGGGCACCTTCCCTTTGGAGCACTTGGTTCTATAAACTCAGCCTTCATTTTGGTTTTTTTGTTTTGTGGGTTTTTTCTTTGTTTTGTTGTTGTTGTTGTTGTTGTTGTTGTTGTTGTTATTGTTGTTGTTTGTACTGGGGATCAAACTTAGGACCTTGCGCTTTTGAGGCAAGTGGCAGAACCACTGAGCTAAATCCCCAGCCCTCAGCCTTCATTTTGAAATGAATATTCCCTTAAAATAAAATTTAAAAAGAGAACATGTTGAATTCTTTGCATGGGGTTCAATGTTTAAGTATTTAGGTTTTCATAAAAGTAATATTTGTTTTGGTGGTACACTCTCCTAATACTGCTAAATGATTTTATGAAATGGATTGAAGAGAATAACCAAAATGAATGAAGATGTTGACTATCCCTCCGAAACATGTATGTTTATTCCATTCATTTACAGGAGTGTGAATTAATCCCCAGGTAGGGCCAGGAGTGTTTTATTCCACATGTGAAAAGAGGAAGAATAGCCCAGGATTCATGTGAAACCAACAGCCATCAGACCACATCCCTAGATGTAATCAGTAAACTAATATTAAGTTTATAAATCTAACTGCAAGGGTGTTGTGTGGCTTCTCTAAATGTAAGGATGGATGAGCTTGTGGGATTTACATGTGGGCCTCTTCTGTCCTCCCCGTCTGTCCCCACTGCCTGGGCTGGCCCTTCTCTGTCCATTGGTCATCTTCCTACAGGACAGGGGCTCCTGCTGTCCTCATGGACCCAGTGTGCCCAGAAACAAGAGCAGATGTCAGCCAGGAAGCCTCTGTTGTGGGGCTACACAGCCCTGGAAATAGTGACTGAGCCATGTGGCGGGTGTCACCTATACTCAGGTGGCTGGAGGTTGAGCCAACACAGTGACATGGGCTCTGTGAGCAGTGCCGTGAGGAGGGAGATGACGCAAGCCAGCCCTGGGACCTCTGTGCATCTCACAGGGCCCAGACCTCAGGCACCATCTGAGACTCGGCCTCCGTGGCCAGCACCTAGCTCTTCACTCAGTGAGACCTGTGGCCTGACACCGCCAACTGGCCCAGAGAGGGGTCCCGAGAGATTCGGAAACCAGGACAGGGGAGCAGCACAGCTTCCACCTCAAGGACTGAACTGCAGCCTCCCAGACTTGAACACAGTTGCAGCCTCAGCTCCCCAGATGTTCTGAAGAGTTGGCAAGATGCCTTTTGGAGGGAAACAGGCAGAGAAAAAGAAAAAATAAAAACAGAAACAGATTCAGTAAGAAAAGCAGAAGTACGTGGCAGAGCCTTAAAGATCTCATCATCTTTGTCCCTGCCTGACCTCCATCAGGTGCCCAGAGTCCATGCTACTTGGGCAGAGCGAGCCTGAGGACTGTTCTAGAACCTCCTAAAGTTTCCGGGATCCCACAGCATACAGGGTGGGAAGCCCCATGTGTCTGGGTGGACACAAAGGGCACCATGGTGGAGACGCGGCATCTTCTGCTACTTCCTTCCTCAACTGAGCTGTCTCCTCAGCCTCCCAACCATAAAACTTTGCACTGTGATGATATGTTCCTAAGTGGACCAGACAGAGCTGGCTCAAGAAACTTTTGTCGTGCCAGGGATCTAGCTCAGTGGTTCTGCTGCTTGCCTTGCAAGCATAAGGATCTGAGTTCAGTCCCAGATACAAAAAAAACCAAGAAACTCTTGTCAGAAAATCTGGGCAAGTATGACCCTTGGACACACTTTTTAATGAATAACAACCCAGCACCAGATGAGAGTGTAATCGTTCCTCCCTGGCCCCCAATGCTCAGCACACTCACCTGAGACCCTGGCAGCTCACTCTCAGGTAACCCCGAAGGCTCCCAGCCCAGAGAATGATTGATGTTCCAAGGCTGTTGCCCCTCCCAGGAGTCCTGTCCCTCTCAGTCCTGAAGCTGATGCCCCTTGGGAGTCACACCTTGAATCGGAAGAAGGGGAAACAATCCTGAAGACTGGTCCACCCAGAAGCAGCCGGTGTGGCTGATGGTATGGAGGCATCCAGATGCTTCTCTGGAGGGCAAGGAGCCTCTGCACTCCAGATTGTTGGGAAATGCTCCCAGCCTCTGCTATCTTGAAATACGTGGCTGTACACAGAAGCAAAGAGCATACATTTATATTTATTGCATCCAAAAATCTGGTTTCCTAACAAACTAAATTAACTTTGTAGTACATTTTTGTAGTATGGCCATTTAGCTTGACAATAAAACCGAATTATTAGGAGAAAAACAGTGTGACCATTTATATCCAAGGTGATGGTGCTGACGACAGATTACTCACTTTCACTTGCAGAGCTCTGTAGCCCAATCCACAGCTACCCTGGTTTGAGCCATTATTTTAGATAGCTGAGATAATACTGTATTTCTTGAAATAAATTCATGAAGTAAGATTATGTCTCTGAGGCCATACTGAAATGGAACCCGGAGGTCTCGATGTAATAAGTAAAGCGAAGGACACAGCTGTGACTTCCTACTGCCTTGTGTCTCCTTGGCAGAAGTGAATTCACCCCTCCCCAGCCTTTCTGGGAGGGAGCAGTGGACCCAGAGTCTCGGGTGTGCTCAGTCTTGCTCTGCTTTTCAGGTGGATTTCACTTCCGGAACCATAACAAAAATGTTCTTCTGTTTGTTCTTTCTCTTCTCTAGCAACAGTTAGACATTCCTATACCCAAGTATTTTTTGAAGGAGAAGTTAGAAGCAATAAGAGGAAGAGAGAAGATCCTGGCACAGATATTGGCAGAGGGTGGATTAGATGTGCCCAATGGGGTTCGTATCGTTTTAAGAAATGTTTTTTCTTCCTTTCCCTGCTGCTCCTGACTGTAGGAGAAACAAAGTATTCACTACTTGAGGAAAGAATCAATCTGCCCTCACAGTCATGTATAGTATGTGAGAAGCTATGTGACTTTTAGAGGTGTTCTTGGTGACACACAATCATTATTTTTCAAGAGTTTAAAAATAGAGATCAAAGAGTAATATGTGGTTTAAATCGGGATGTGATGTCTAGGACAGGTGGATTGGCAGTGCAGTTGAATTTTTCATGTCCAGTGCACTTAGCTAAAGTTAAAAGCTAAATATTGTTCACATAGAATCATTAAGTGCCATTCTGTCAGAGTAGGAACTTGAAGATGACTGCACTTTCCCAGATGTTTGTGGCCTTTGCAGACTTCTGGAAAGCAGAGTCTGTGGGGACGAGAAAGAGAAACCCTCAAAGAGCTTCTCTATCCTCCAGCCACCCTCCTCCTGTCTCCTCAGCTGCCTTGGGCCTGATCCCACCGCCCTCTCCCAGACTCTTGCAGTGACTCCCAGTCTGGCAGCCTCCAGGGAACAGTGGTTTCTTGCACCTGGCAGCCCTGCTCATGCATTCAGAGACTTCCCACCTGTAGCCCAGCAGCAGGGAAAGAGGAGGGTGATAGTGGCAAGCAGCACATGCACTCCTCCTGCAGACAAGCGCTGGCCTGGGTCACAGTGCTAAGGAAAATTCAAACCCGTGGCAGGGGTGGTGGACACAGAAATACCGGGACATAGGGGAAGTCGCAAGGCTTACCAGCTAAGCCCTAGCTCTTTGCACCAGTGGGCTCAGAGCCTCTCCTGTCCTATACACACCTGTCGAAGTTCTACTTGACACAGCACCCTTCAGAAGCCTTTCCCAACCACTGAACCGAAGCCGGGCACGCCTTCCTGTGCCCTCCCAAACTCCTGACCTCATCAACATTGTGGATCACTTGGAGCCTGTTCCCAGGCTGGATACTTGGTCCTGCCAGCCCCTTACCTGTGCTTTCTGTCCACTGCTGGGTGTCCTTTAGTCCCCCCCAAGGAAGCCTTTGTGCTAAGCAATGAGACCAGTGCAGAATCCCAGATTTTATGGGAGAGATGGAGGAGGGAGATGGCATCACACACCAGGCAGCACAGCCCCAAGATACCACCCTGCTGGCCTCTTTCCACTGTCTCTCTTCCTTTACACCAAGTGGTCACAAGGGAGGTCTCCTCTCTCCCTTCCACACCCAACATCTGGCCTCTCACTGAGCTGGGAAAAGCGCTCATCCCTGCCTCGGCCCATGTCAGAGGGGCCAGACCCCCAGCAGGCACAAGGCTTCCCCTGTGCCTTTCTGCCTCCCTGAGCTGCTCTCCCCTGGTTGGCTGGTTAGTTAGTTGGTTGGTTTAGATGGTGCCGGGAATCAAACCCATAGCCCTGTGGATGTTAGGCAAGCACTGTACCACTGAGCTCCACTGACTATCCACCTGCTATGCTGACTAGGCGACCTAAAATTCCTTGGACAGAGTGATTCACACTTGGCTGGTAGAATCAGAATGACAGCGTGTAATTGATAGAAATAAACGCAATACTGACATTTGCTAGGTGTCTACCACATGCATGAAAGCTCCTGCGTACATCACTGATTTAACCCAGAGTTACATTCGTCTTCCTTCTAGCACACAAAGTACATTGTTAAAACGTGTGTGCCCCCGCACATCTGAAACACTGAAATCTCACCGTAAACCCAGCTGAGGAGAACTGCTCTGTGAACCAGCCTCCCCATGGCAGCCTCGTTCCTCATACCAGACTGAGAGGCTACAGAGAGGGGAAGGGGTAGTTTAGTGAGGACTTTTGTGGGCAACTCTAATCCTGTGAGCTTGGTGTTCTTAACTCCTTTGGTCACTGTGGCCCCTGCAGGTTGCCCTTGTAAACTGGATGCAAAGCATCCGGCATGTGTGGGACCCCAGCAGATGCCTCTGTCTCCCTCCTCACCCCTGCCTGGGGCCCCACCAGTACACACCACCCTCTGGTCACACAGAGAAGGAAGGGGTCATCCTGGGAGCAGTGTCCCAGGTGATGAGTGGAGACCCCAGGCCCCTGAGCTTCCCTTCAACATGGTGGCCGTGGGTTCCTTCAGTGCCCGGATGGGGCCTGAGCCTGGCTAGGCTCTGCAGCCTCCCTGCTGCCTCCTCTCACCCACAGATGAACGTCCCCAGGCCAGGCCAGGTGCACAGTGTCCCCTTGTCACGGACAGCAGTGGGTCCTCCCCCAAGCCCTCTCCTGGCTCTCACAGGCCTCTGGCACCCTAGAACCCTTGCTTGTGTCCCTCTTTCCCTCCAAACCTCACAGCCCCTCAGCTGACTCTATCACCCCACACCTGACCTGAAAGGCCCCCATCTGCTGCTTAATCCCCAGAGCTTCTGTTCTAATGCCACTCTTCACGTGTGGGCATCTCTAAGCACAGGCGTCCAGACAGTGGGACCAACTTCAAACAGGAACTAAATCTCCTAACATGATTTTAGCGTTAGTCGTAGTCTCTGAGTCAGACTGCAGCTGATTTTAAACTCAGCATTTTATTTAACATATATTTTAAATGTTTAATTCTCATGTTACTGATGTGCTTTTAGTTTCTGATCCTGCCATGAAGCCACTGAAATATTGGCAACAAATTTCCAACTGTATTGAATCTACTTTATTGACATTTTTAGTGTGAATTACCACCAATATGAAATATTTTGGCACTAATTAGTACTCTGTTTGGAAGAAAAGAAGTTACTGGCCCTTAAATTTCCGGTCACATGTGAACATGATACAGTATCAAAATACACGTAATTCACTGAGAAGGGAACGTGTCATGTGAGGACACTCAGTGTCAGAAGTAAGTGACTGCTGGATATAGAAAGTGTGATCAAAACCTATAGTGAATGTTTTATTTTTAATTTATTGCCTGTAAAAGAGACGTTACCTTTAGTTCCTAAGTCCTCCCCTTCACCTTGAACTCATGCCTTCATTCTTACCACTTTCTGAAGCAGCTTCTGGAGTTACTTTTTTTCTTGAGCGGCCTCAGGAGATATGATCAAAAATATAGTGAATGCTGCTGCTGAGTGCCATCCAACGAAGTGCCAAGTCAGGGTCATAAAAACAGGACGGTGTCCTTAGCCACCTGACTGAGCACCCTGCGACTTCTGGTTCTTCCCAAAGCCAAAGTGACCGTGAAAGGTCAATGTTTTGAGTCAGTGCAGGACATCGAGACAGCTGTGACAGCACAGCTAAAGACCCTCAGGAAAGAGGACTCCAGAGCTGCTGCAGGCAGTGGCAAGAACACGGGATGTGTGTGTTTGGGTGGCATTTAATGAGAATGTAACCTTTACTGTATGTCATTTTTTATTTAAACAGTCACGACAGGTTTTGAACATGCCTCACAGGATGTTTCCTTATAGATGTATCCTATGTCTTGCAGAAAACCACTGTGAAGGCAATGCCCTTGGAAGAGGCTGTTAAATTAATCCAGGTTGCTGAGAGGGCCCGGCAAGGTCGCCTAAGAGCGATATTCATGAAGCAAATCTACCTTCAGGAGTACAGAGCAAAGCAAGCCAGGATCCTTGGAGAACAAGTAGCAGATGCTGGGGCTGCTGCACTCCGTATTCAGAAGGTAGACACTCGGGGCTCACTGGAGGCCAGACTCCCACACGGCCTGAGGTACACTCTGGCTGGAGAAGGGGAGTCCTTCTTCATGTCGTACTTCAGTGGAAGTGATCTAGTCAATAAATTCCCAAAAGATTTACTAAGTTATCCTGGAGGAACCACTAGCTGAAGTTGGTCATGTTTGAAATTTTTATCCCAAGTAGCTATTAAACACAGGCATTTTATTCAAATATTTTTAAGACCATTTATACTCATTGGAAAGAATGTTGGTAAAGTTCAGTGAGGAAGTAAACCCCTAATGAGTTTTTTTAAATGCACGCAGGCACAGATGTGTGATTGCAGAAGGGAGGCGCAAGGATTCATAGCTGACAGCTCACAGAAAAGTTTATCCTTTTAAAACTTGCAGCGATCCTAGCTGATAGACAGAATACCACTGTTCCTTCTCAAAGTGGTCGTGTCTCCTCTTCAGAGGGGCACCGCAGATTTGACCCCATCTTTTTGCAAAAGAAGTCCAGGGTTGCTTCTGGGGAAACAAAGGAGATGTGATAATCATACACCTTACAATTAGGGTTGAGAGAAAGTGAGTCTAAGGACATGCAGTGGAGCTGGAAGATCAGAGTTCTGTCCCTAATTATGTCTAATTGTGAGTGAGTGAAACAGGCAGGAAAGAAGGATAGAAGATAATTTTCTTTCGAGTTTCCATGGGGATGTAAAGTTTTAGCATCCAAGTTAAAAGCTGGTGATGCATAATTCTTAGCATGTTTCCCCACTTTACTTTGGAAATTTTTCTCTTAAAACCATGAAGAGAGCCGAGTGTGGTGGAGCATGCCTGTAATCCCAGCACTCGGGAGGCTGACGCAGGAGGATTGCTGTGAGTTCGAGACCAGCCTGGGCTACATAGTGAGTTCCAGGTCAGTCTTAACTACATAGTGAGACCCTGTCTCAAAATCACCTCCCCCCCAAAAAAACCATGAGGCACCCTTAGATCTAGCTCAGTTCTGTGATTTGCCCTTTCTTTAAAATTCTTTTCCTGTGATCCCAGCAGAAAAAAATATCCCACCAACACATCTGTGCCTGCCTGGAGTTTGTGGTCACTGGGGCAGGTGGCCTGTGCGGTTTACACAAGGAAAGCTGTGGATCACGTCTGCTTTACTCCTGTCTCACAGCTAACAGACAACCCTGTATTTGGTTTCAGGTTTGGCGAGGTTTCCATCAGTGCAAGAAGACGGAGCGAGAGCGAGAGGAGGAGATGGTGTTCCTGGGAATGGTGAGTCCCTGTGGGCAGGGTCTGGCTTCTTCGAGACAGTGGACACTGTAAGATGTGCGTCTTCTCTGGATGCTTTCGGGGAGGAAAGGAAAGCAAACTGGGTGACTTGAAGTCATGGAGGTCTCGAGAGGAGAGAGGCCACAGTGGAGGGGACCTGAGAGGCAGTGCCGTACCCTTCCCAGGCCGGGTGACAATAGCAAGCACTCTCTGCTTTATCGGGGCTGAGGGGCTCAGGAGTGTGTTGCGCTGACACAGTGGGCTCAGGTGGGGTGCGGGGTCATCTCCATGGTGATCACTGAATCACAGCTGGGGGGTGTATTGTAACCCATCGCCGCAGGGCAATGTCACCACACACCGCAGCCCAGGCAATGCCCCTTGGTCCCCTCACAGGCTGTGGCTTGGCGCAGCCTGGCTGTGTCCTCTCTCTGGGTCTCACAGGGCTGCCGTGCAGTTTGGGCTGGGCTGATCTCATCTGAGCTGGGAAGTCCAGTGTCTCTGTCCAAGCTTGTGTGGCTGTTGGCAGGACTCAGGCCGGCCTAGCTGCTTTGCCAGCTGTTGGTTGACGAAGCGAGCAGCCCCCTGTGCATGGCCAGGGCTGGGAGAACAGGACACTTGCAGTCTCTCTGGCCAGCCCAGAAGCACCATCCCATCCCCTCTGCCCTGTTGTGTGGGTTGGAAGCAGATCAGAGGCGCCGCTCACACTCGGGGGAGGCAACCACGTGAGCGGACAGGACCAGGACGCAGGGCACACCACAGGGGACAGCCCCAGGGTCTGCCTCGTGTCTTTTCACGTCCTGTCCTTGTCCCCTCCTTTCCCTCCCCCTCCATCTTCTAATCTCCAGAAAATCTATCTCCCTTTTTCCTGTCATCTGTCTTTTATTTTGCTCTTTAAATTTTTTATCCTTTGGGATTCTCACATAAGAGAAGCCATGTGATATTTAAACTTGTGGGTCTTGTTTATCTCACTTAACATGATGGTCCCACATTACATCCATTTTTCTACAAATGCCTCAAGTCTGTCTTTCTTTAGGGCAGAGTAGTACTCTGCTGCATATAAATACCACCTTTATCCGTGAATCTGTTGATGGACACACAGGCTGCTCCCAATATTGAGCTACTATGAGCTGTGCTGCTATAAACATGTGCATGCTTGTGTCCCTGTAAAATGATGTCTTCAACTCTTTGGGGAAGACACGCAGAGGGAGCATCGCTGGGCTAAATGGAATTTCCAGTTTTACTTCTCTGAAGAATCTCCATACTGACTTATCTAGTGGTTGTGCTAGTTTGCACTCCCACCAGTATAAAAGAAGGGTTCCTTTGTCCCTGCAGCCTCGCAGCATTTGTTATCTGATTTCTCCGGGATGACAGTTCTTTCTAGAGTAAGATGAGTCTCCGTGCTATTTTAATCTGCATTTCTCTAATGGCCAGAGATGTTGGGCATTTTTTTTTTCATGCACTACTTCACCCTGTGGAAGCAGGAAGCGGTGATGGTTGCCAGAGAAATGGGAGTTGCTGTTTCCTGGAGACAGAGTCTTAGCTGCCAAGGGGATGGCGTTCGAGAGGCCAGTTGCGTGACAACGTGAATGTAGTAAACACTAGTTAGCTGTGTACTGAAAAACGGTTAAGATGGTAAATTTTATGTCATGTGTTTTCTTTAACCACGTTTTTTAAATTTTTTTAAGTTTTATTAAGGCATTAAAATGTGTGTTGACATCATTCTGTGTAAATCTTGGCTATTTGCTACTGGTCAGAAAATACAAACTAAAAGTTAAATAAGAGACTACTGTGTTCCACAGACTCCTAAGATGCCATTCTTTGTGAGATGCATCAGTATTAAGAAAAAAGATGCTTCTGAGTAAATGAAGACACACTGTAACACACAACCATCCCTATTTTGGATGCTTCAAACTGCAAAATATGTGTGTTTTAAAATTGGTGCAATGGAGTAAATTGTATCTGTCTTATTAGCAAAACTAAGAATGCTGAAAAATTACATTTACTGGGCCACAAGGATTAGCTCAGTGGCACCACTCCTGCCTGGCAAGCGCAAGGTCCTGAGTTCAATCCCCGATACAAAATATATATATATATTATTATTGACAAGATCTGATACAGATCCTCACAGGAGATGAACTGAATTGACTCAGCCTCTCTGAAAGCCATTCAGCAAGATGTAGCAAGACCCTAAAATATTCATGACCTGCACCCTCCACTTCTGCCTCCGACTCTGTGAATCATCAGGAACAGAAATCTGTGTGTGTAGGAGTTCTCAGTGTCTGTGCACTAAACATAACTAATGATAAGAAAATGGAAATAATCGATCCCCTGCTGTAGTAGGCGTGCAGTTAAATAATTCATGGTGGCCTCACGTAATGGAGTGGTCAAAATAACATATATATTATATATTCTCACTGAGTGAATGAACCCAGCTGTATACATTCAACAAAAAAAAGAAAGCTGCCAAGCTTGACTCGAGCTCATGTTTTCATGGGTGAACTTTGAAAGATTTGTTGTTGTTGCTGATGTTGTTTTTGGTAATGGTCAAATTGTACTTTTTTAATTAGAAATATACTCTTGTAAAAGTAAAGGCAAATGACAGCAAAATATTACCCATTTTCAGCTAAAATCTCTAAATTGCTTGGTCTTATGAAGAGGCAGGTGAGTACCAATACAACATTATTTCCCTGCCCAACATCCTCGAGAGCTGCTTGTGAAGAGTGCAGTGGCAAAAACATGTTCAGGTCTCTTTTTCTACTTCAAAAATTAAATTGGTGTCAGAAGGTCCCATCCCGGGTCTTCCAAACTGAATGTGACATTAGCACGCACATCTCACTTAAGTGTCAACGCTGCTCACTGAAGTAAATTCCCACTCACTGTGTCTCAGGCTCCATTTACCTGTAGCTCAGAAACTACCAGCCAGGGACACAGTGATGGCGAGGGCTGCCATCTCTCCACGAGGTGTTGACGGCCGATGCCACGTAAAGACACAATGACCTGTTCTCAGGATTTGAATTTTTCAGTTTGACTGTCATTTATATGTGCTCAGCTCAAATGACAGCTGTTGCAGCTTCTCAGCAGTACAGTTTGATGGCGTAGAGGGGATGGATAAGCTTGTCTGTTATGTCTCCACGTGACTTTCTTCGATATGACTTTTCCCGCAGTATGTGTCCTCTGGATATTACATGTTCTGTTGAAATTTTACACCACTGAGAAGTATATGGATTCAATTTTTAAAAGAATGTTATCTGCTGTTCACTCGCTGGTGACCATAAAAAATCCATTACCCCTAATCTAAGACATGTTTTCAATTGAGTAGATTTTCCACGATATCACTGATTAAGATAATTCCTGCTCATTTTAAAATTTCATTTTTCCATTAGTTCACTTTATTCTATTATACCAATGTGAAAAACATCAATTTATCTGATCAAAACTGTACTTGTATCTTCATGAGCCTCTTGGCACATTTTCAGCAGGGTCTCCCTAGTAACAGAAACCAGAATTACAGCAAGAGACATCGTTATACTGTGCCTTCAATTCCTGACCTAATGTTTCCTTTACCATTGTCATATAAATGACTTTTTTTGATATTGCCATTTTAAATATTTATATTCTAAAATCTACAAAGGGAAATAAATAGCACTCTAAAAATTCGTGCGCAGTTATTTTAATTGGCAGAGTCAATGGAGTGGATCGGGGAGAAGGAAAGTTAATGAATGTAATACATTTCGTTCTCTGGACCGCTTGGAAGCAATTTGTCTGACAGTCACGACCATCGTGTATTTTATGTTCCTCCAAAGCGATTGGTGCTTGTATTATAATGAAAAACACTGGGGGACACTTATTAAAGAGAAGACCTGTCACTCCTGTGCACATCCACTGAATCCTGAAAGCACCATAAAGCCCTGCTCGCTGTCAGAATCTGCCGTGAAGCAAGCTGTATTCTAGATTACTTTTTGGCCAATAAATTTGCCTTCTTTCTTATTAAGAAAGACCCTCCGGTACAGGCGGGGGCGCCCCTGGGACAGCTCCCCCTGTGACCCACCATGCACAAGGCACCTGGGGTCCCTGGGATCCTGCTTGGGGACGGCTGTCAGCGCCACATAGGCGGAGGATCTAACTCTTTCATGGTCACACTTGAATTTCAACCAGAATTATGTAGGCCAGGCCAGGCCTTTCTTCATGTTCGGCTCTAAATGACTTTCATTTCCTTTCCTTCCTTCTTTCCTTCTTTCCATTCTTTTATTCTTTTTGCAATACTGTGGAATGAACCCAGAGCTATATCCCTAGCCCCTCTCTATTTTTTGAAAAAACATCTGAGTAAACCACTACATTTCCCTGTCTGGGCTTTAACTTTCCATCCTCCTGTCTGAGTCTCCTGGAGTGCTGGGATCACTGGCATAGGCCACCATGGTGATATCTGATTGTTTCCCCCCAAATTAATGAATTTTCAGTCCTCAAAAGTAGATTTGCCATGACATGTGGAGTTTTGTTTTGTACTGCTTTGTTTTTCCCGGCCCTTTCCATGCAGAAGAGCAGCCATGCCTATCCTGGGGAGGGCAGCAAGCTGAGGTGAGCACACAGCTCCCTGCACCCACCCTGCAGGCGTCCCCCTGGTGGGTGCTGCCAAGAACCTGGCACTTGAGGCAGCCATCGGGACCTAGGCCAGGCAGTTAGACATGTGTACTTAGAGGCAGGCAGACACTGGTTCAAAGCCCGACTCTGCCCACGCCAGTGCAGGGACCTTGAGGGCCACACGTGCTGTCCCTGTGAGCCTCGGTTTCCCCTCATGTGAGGTGGGCAGTGCTGTCTGCATCGCAGAGCTGTCAGGTGGACTTCAGACAAGATGCTAAGCAAAGGCCACGCCTAGAATCTGAGGTAGGGTGCACCTTCCCGGATCAGTGGCTAGTGTTACCTCGGAAAATTATAATTTATTCTCACAATGATCGAATGACCATGTAACGGGAAAATATCAGGCAGTATAATTTTTGCGTGTAACAAAACACAAATGTTTCAAATTAAGGTCTTGTGTAAAAATATATGTTCGACGGATTTCAGAATATAAAATCCCATGGCATTGTTTGTCTACACTGCTAAAGCCATGAACTGAAGCCATACCTGCCAAAAGCATGGTGTGGAGAAGCCCAAGAGTGAGTCTGGCCTGCAGTCACCCTTATCCCACAGCGGGGACACCTAGAGATGCCCAAGGTGACTGGTGCGGCCTCGTGTTTGCAGCAGGAAAACATTTGTAGTCATGATGAGTGTCCCCTCCTGGCACAGACGCTGTGGAAGGTGGTGGACACCTTGGGCAGGGGTCAGAATCCGAGAGAGGCACCCAGAATGGTCTTTGGGAAGCTCTAAAGTCCACTTAGAGAGGCTTCAATTGGAATACAGGAAGTCACCGTTTTCTTTTCTGTTAAGTGGAATTTTACAGTCTAGTTCCCTGAAAACCTGTGGTTTGACTTCAGTTCTTTTTCTTTTTCTTATTATTGTTTTTTATCTTCTTCTTATTATTTTTTCTGCTTAATTCTTGGCCTCCATCTGCAGACGGTGGAAGACTGAATGACAGACAAAGGGTTCCCTTCCTGGTGCTTCCCTTTGTCCCTGGCCCTGGGACTCCTGTGTGTGCCTCAGTTTATCTCCCTGAGGGCCCCTCGCAAAGTCCCACATACAGCAAGCAGAGACACTCTGGGCCAATGACTCTGGGGCCCATGCACCTGGGTTCAGCCTAGGGCCCTGTAGATGGGCTGTGCTGCCTCCTCCTCCCTCTACAGTGATTTCTGTGATGCAAATACAACACACAGGTGCAATAGGATCTCAGCAATGTCTGCACAAATCACTACTGCGCTTATAAAAAAGCATGATCTGGGGCACCCATGAGAAATCACTTTCAGACAAAATATTTTAAGCCAGACAAAACCATCAGCAAGTGCAAAAAGGCAGCAAAGGCAGAGATGCCAGAAAGCAATGCCTCGGGCCCAGCCCCAGTCTGTCACCTCGCACTGTGACTCCGGGAAAGTCCCTGGATCTCGCTGTGCTTCTGTGTCCTCACAGAGAAAATGAGTTAGTCCCTGGAACCACTGAAAATTGTGCCTGACAAACTGTAAGTGCCCTCGAAGTGTTCATGTCAAATGCTTTTAAAGAAAGCAGCCCCAAGAACGCAAGTAAAGCCTCCTCCACTAACCAGCCACGCGCTCCACCAGGCACCTGTGTATTGCGCTTGCTATGTAAGCAAATTTTTTAAATACTAAAAGGATTTTTTTTTAAGGAATGAGGCCTTACAGGCTAGAGCAACTTTTATTCTTTGATAGTTTGTACTTGCTAAAACTGGATTCTGAAGGAAAGATTTGGCCTGACTCTCTGTGAGCAGAGAGACAAAGGGAAGCACACAGCTCTGGCTGGGCCCCATCAGGGCTGGTGGGTGTGTCGAAGCCCAGATGCTCACATGCAGATGTGGGACTCCATAAACTGATTTCCATGAACTGAGCAACACAGCCCTTGGCACAATCTTGAAAGGGACTGGCAGAGGTGCGGCTGGTGTTCAACAGGAGCCGTCCGTGTGCAGAACCCGGCCAGAATCAGCACCCGGCTCTTGTGCCTGCTTGTGAATTCCAGACACTGTGCTCCCGGGCTGAGGGCTCCCTGATTCTGCAGCTGCGCAGGTGGAGATGGCAGGAGGTGGCCCCTGCTGGGCTCCACCTTTCCCTTCCCCTGGCCAGTGTTGCTTCAGAGGGTGACAACCTGTCCACCCAGACAAGCTGCTCCTCTGAGAGCTGCCGGCATTCCGCCACTTATGTGCAAGTGTATTCGGACCGGGTAAATGGAACAGGCTCCCCTTTGGACAAAGGTCCATTTTTTCTTGCTAATTTGCACAAAGATTTCTAAAGACAAAGCCCATCAAACATTAGATAAGCATTTTAAGTTAATGGGCCATGTCGTCCTATTTGCCCACAAACTCAGGGACTGTCATCTGATGTCCTATTTTCGCAGAAACATCAATTATTAATATGTATATTTTTGCTGACAGAGGACCTTGCTACAAATGTAGGTTTCGTTATCTTGTTCTGGGTCATTAACCGTGGAAAGCTTGTAAATATAATGGTTTATTCACATGGGAAGCCTTCATTAAGATGCATTATTCTACAGCTGCTGTACCACAGTAGATAGTATATTTCCATGTTCTCCAACTGCTTTTAATATTTGCAATTTTAAATGAGTTGCTGTGTATGTGGTGAGTTAACAAATTTTAATTCCATGTGACCAAAGTTGCTAAAGAGGTAAAGATGTGTTAACCAGAAGGAAACGCCGCTCATTGAAACGGGGCCTAAATGTGTCATTGCCTTTAAATTCAGACAGAGCTAGAGAAGGAAGCCACAAATGACCCAAATGTGGCTCTGCAAGAGAAGGTTGACATGAAGCAGTGTGGCCAAGTATGCCCTCTAGATGGCATAGCGTGGAGACACAGCAGACAGGGACCCTGCGGAACTGGAAACTTTACAAACATGGAATGGCTCAGGAAAGACTTCCGTTCTGAGCCTCCCTTCCTGCTTCCATTCACTGGGATCCTCATGCCCTCGTTGCTACCTTCAGAGAGGAGTGTGAGCATGAACAGGGAGATGTGGGATTCTAACTCGTGCTACAGGGACATCATCCCAGAGCCGTCCCTGTGGAGCAAACAGGAAATTCCACAGAGAGCTGAATATTTTCTCCTTCACTCATAGGTCATAGAAGTGTTAGGAAGTCTGCTGGACACTTCTTCTAGAGTAATGGACAGGACACAGATGCGTCCCCCACTCTTCTTTCATTTGGGACCTGGAAGGAGAAAGACCCAGCTCAGATGCAGCTGTGCACACCTCTGAAGGGAATTTGCAGATGGCACCAGGAGCCCAGGGTTCCACGGAACCCATGGGAATGGCGGAGAATTGTGAACTCTGTGTGCAACTCTAAGACAGTGTTGCACCCTCTATAGAGGCAGAGAAACTTGGGGCATTTGTGGCATCTTCATAAAAGCCGTCGAGTTTAAAGTAGCCCTTGGCTTTTGGAGATTGGATAAAGAAGATGTGGTTTTTCTATAAAATGGAATACTACTCAGCCATAAAGAATGAGAAATTAGATTCAATCGTAGGAAAATGGATACATATTGAGGATATACTCCTAAGTGAAATAAATAAGTCACACTTGTGTAAATACCAAATAATTTCTCTGGTGTGAATAAACTATAATAGTACATAAGATCCTAATGAGATAACTGACATTGTGAAATGGGAAGAAAAGGGCTAAAGGTGTAGGGAAAGTAGGAAGGGTAGGGGGAAGGTAGTAAGGGAAAGAAAAAAATAGGAGAAAATGAAAAAATGGAAATAAAATGTATATAAATGGGGAGGGGAGGAGGGGGTGAAGGGAAGGTAGGGACAAGGGGAAAAAATGAGAACCAAGACCTGTCATGTAAAGGTACAAGATCCCAATAATGAATGTACCTGTACTGTATACCTAAAATGTACCGATAAACTCAATGAAGAAAAATAAATAAATAAAAAAGAGTCCATCAAAGTCTGAATTATTGATTTCTATTTCATACATTTAAAACATAAACACTGAGAATGAAAAACATTCCTGGAAGATTCAAGGATTGGATTTTATCTCAGTGACTTTTAGAAAAGCTCTGCTTTCTATAGTGTGGAATAATTTTTTAAAGCTTATAGAATGTATCAGTTAGATTTCTAGCACTATAACAAAACTCAGTCAACTTTTTAAAATAAAAGGTATATTTTTAATGAAAAAGCTAAGTTTTATGCATTTCAGTCCATGATTGATTGGCCACAGTGACTTTTGGCGAGCCAGCATGTGGTAGCAAGAGCATGTGAAGCAAAAAAGGTTGAGAAAGGGGCTCAGATTCCCAAATCCCCCTTCAAGACCATGCTCACAATGACCTAAAGACCTCCCACTAGGATTCACCTCTGAAAGGTTCAACCACTTCCTAAGGGCACCACGCTGGGGATCAGTCATGTAACACAGGGGCCTCTGGGGACTTTCAAGCCTAGAATATGTATTTTTCAGGCTAAGCACCCCCTGAGTCTGAGGACTCTTCCCTCCCCACAATGGTGAATCCATTCTTCAAGTGCTCCTGCGATCTCTGATCTCATGTTCTGCATATACTTCTTACTTCCAGAGAAGATATGGTCACACTCAATTCACAGCTGATAATTTTCACCAGATCTGTAGCTGATCTTGCTCAAACTTTCTCTTGCTGTTTTCAGAACCCCCCTCCTCACTTTGATGAAGTGAGCCCAACAATGAAGCAGGCCGAAAGGGTGGGCCACCTGCGGAGTGAGACACAGATGAAGCACGAGGAGCGCTACAGGGAAGCCCTGGTTGCGATCAAGAGTGACCTGCAGCTGATTGAAGGCCCAGACATCAAGGAGAGCCTTCAGGACCAGATCCGGCACTGGTTCATAGAATGCAGGTGACCGCGAGCTGCGTGGCGCATTGGAGGGGTCCACGGTGTCCCCTCTTCTCTGGCCGAGCTTGTCCTGTGTTGAAACACAGAGGCTCCTGGTGTAGAACAATGAGGTTTCTCAGCTTCATTTTAGAAACGTGAAATACCAAGGCTAGGAATTCAGAAATGAAGTCTTTAGTGAAGTGTTTTCTTGTCCTGTTTTTTTTAAAAACAGGGTCCGTGTAATCCACATAGAATGGGTAGGGGGCACAGCCCCAGAATGGAAGAATGTCACGGACAGTTCTATCTGAAAGCGTAGGAACAGCAGCGACCGGGTCACACTGCCCTTCCTTGTCAGGACCTGCGGGCTGCTGCCAGAAGTGCTCAGTGCTGGGCCCTCTCTGTCCTGATCCTTGAGGTGGCTACAGACTCCCTGGGCTGGACATCTGGCCCCAGGTCCCCTGAGATGATAGGAGTTCTAAGTGACATAAGCTTTGCATACAAGAGCTGGCTTCCGGGGGTGTTTTCCCTGGCCACACCTTAGAAGCAGCACTTCTAGGTAGTCTGGATAGCACCACTTCCAAGTCCACTTGACCTGATCAGTCCCAAGGGAGAGGAAGGACACTTGGCCATCTGTCGAGTGGACATTGTGTGTCACCTCAGGTCCCAAGCTAACTAATGCTGGCCAGCTCATAAAGAGCAGGAAATTTAACGTTGGCAATGGAAAAATCAGACTTGTTCTCAAAAGTGAAAGATTTTATGTCTGGGGCGGGCAGGCCCTGAGCTGGCTTCCAGAGACCCAGTCCTCAGGTTTGACCCCACCAGGCCACACACTTGGAAAGAGGGAAATCTGACAGAAGTGATGACCTCTCGTCTCCTTCTGGCTCCAAGCCCTGTCCACACCACAAGCATGGACTGGGCAACAGACCCTGCCCGCCGGTCTTCCCTGCTGGACACTGATCGTGGCTGTGAGAGATGCCCCAGGGCAGAGTCACCCAGTGGAGTCACATCTGAGCCCCACCCCACAGAAGCTGTGATGTGACTCACATGTGTCATTTCTCGCCACAAACCTCTGGGGTAGCATGGCATCCAGTCCGTCTTTACTGCCATAACTCATGACTGCAGCCAGGGGCGTTATAAACAGTAGAAGGTGATTTGGCCCCTTGGTTCCCCTTGCAACTCTTCACTTGGTGCTGGAGTCCCAGCATTCACCCCCTTTTTGCCTGAAACCCTTGGAGGAGGAGGATGGCCAGGGACTCCATGGGCCCACCCTGTCCCTCCACTCCCCTTTTGCACCATACCCCTCAGTACCATGTTGAGTTCAGAGTGAACACAGTTCCCTCCCTGTTTCCTCCCTGATTCTCCCAGCTCCTTGCTGTGCTCCGAGAAGACCCTCACTGTCCTCCTCCAGGCACAAACTGGGGTCCTTGCTTCCCACAAAAGCGCTGTGAAATTTGGGCGAGTCATTTCGCCTCTCCGTGCGTCAGTTTTCTTGTCTTTGACTGAGGGCAGGAATCACCCCTATATGTGGGGTGTTCAGAGCCCGCATGTGCCTGGGCCTCTGCCTGGATACCACAGCCCAGCCAGCGCCGTGCCAGGCACTGAGGAGAGGGGACTGAGCAAATTCAGTGCGAGGTGTAAGCAGGGGCATGGTTGCCATTCTTGACCAACTCCGTAATTGTGTCTGGAGAAAATATTCCTGGGGTGGCTTTGTGCAACTGCGATCACAGAGATTTAGGCAGGAAAGCGTTGCAATTAAGTCTTTGGATCAGCACACGTCAGTTTATCACATAAAACTTCACTTTGGCAGTACTGGGGATCATATGTACTATGGGCATGAGTCTCTGTTATCAGAAACCTCCCCTCTTTGCTCATGTGTCAGAGAATAGGTATTGGAAAATATGTTTTCTATAAATGAAATGGCTCTTTACTTTCACATGGACATTTTTAAGTCGAATATGTTATTGAGTGACAAAACAAGGCCAAAAACACCATACTTGATTATAGCCCCACATAAGTTAAAACATATGTGTACAGCAGTCCCCTTGTCCTAGGGATATGTTTCCTGACCCCCTGTATTTGACTGAAACCACAGATAGTACTGGACCCTGTTATGGTAAGTTTTTTCCCTATATCTACAGACCTACAACACAAAGCATTAAATATAAGTTAGGAGTAGAAAGAGAGTAACAACAATAAGAAGATAGAATACGCATAATACTTTCTGCAATAAAATCCCTGACATCACTACTCTTGAGCTTTGGGGACATTATTAGATAAAGTAAAAGGTACCGAACACAAACACTTCTGTACTGAGAAAGTACATCTAGTAACAGACTGCTACTACGTGAGAAACGGGCAGAGCTGTACAGCATGGGTGACAGACCCGGGATACCCCACCTCCCGGTAGTCTGGAGCACAAAGCGGGATTTCACCCCACACGTCCCAGTAGCACACGGTGTGAAACTGGTGAATTATGCATTTCCGGAATTCTGTGCTTAATGCTTTTCAGCCCGCAGTTGACAGCAAGTAAGCAAAGCTGAACCACAGAAAAGAGAACTGCAGATAAGGAAGGGGGGCACCACATGCATAAGCACATCTAACCTACTGCACACGTGTGTGCACACCCACACCTTCTTGAGAAAGGCACTGGGAGCCAGGGGCCCGGCCATCCTGGGACGGGAGGGGTTTACGGTTTACTTTACATTCCCAGTACCAGGGGAATTCTTTTGTTCCAGTGTTATCTTTATAACGAAAACCTCAATTCAAAATCTATTCAAGGAAAAAGAAAGAAAGGTGATCAATTTGTGTCGCCTTTAAATTTTTCCTACCCCCTGATCTCAGAGAAGCAGTTGAAGGTGACCCCTCTGTCACCCTCCAGGACCTGGCTTGTGTTCCAGGATGCAGCAGATGGGGCTGGCGTCAGGGGTAGCTGACCCCAACCCGAGATGCTGGGGGGTCACAGGAGACAGGGTGAGCTCCGCTGTCATCCCAGAGGTGCAACCACTGTCGCGGGTTTAGGGGTTCTCTTTGAAGATGTAACTGACCAGTCCCTGGAGGACACATCGTCCTGTTTTCCCCACCCCACAGTCTGGCGGCGGGTCAGAGGCATTCTCATGGGTGCACTGTGTGGAATTCACAAAGATATAAAAATCCCTCTTTTTCTGTGTGTGCGGTACCAGGGATTGAACTCAGTACCTCGTGCAGTGCCGCTGAGCTATATGCCCAGCCCTAAAAAATTCCTCTTTTTGAAGTATCTCATAAGGTCGAGGGAGAATTTATTTTCATAATTGGATTACATTTGTCTGATTGACTTTGATTAAAAAAAAGGTCCTTCTTGCTTTTTTTAAATCAAAGCCAAATGAAAAGCAAATATTGTCTTTTGGAGCATGAAACATGATCCGTCCTCAGGACAGATTCCAATCGGACACAGTGACAACACCAAAAACCATGAGGAGGCACAAGTAACGTGTGTGCCACACTCAGAATACTTGTGCATGGCTCGTTTTATGTGTGTGCATCACTGCAGAGGGGTTAAGTCGCATGTTAGGTTATTTTAGATGCAGTATTCTTCCCATCCTTAGAAGCAGTGAATGCACACTCAGTGTAGAGAATTTGCAAAACAAAGTATAAAGAAAAGCATTTAAATCACCTGCGCTTTCTGCACATGCAGATAGCTACTGTAAAGGTGTTGATAAACTTCTTTCTAGGCCCTTTCTCTCATTTATACTTTCAGTCGCAGTTTTATGAATCCTTCCTCTAATTTTTAAAACTTTAACACTGGATTCTCCCAAGTCCCAAGAGCGTTTTTCCAGATGTTTTTATGATTACTTGGCATTCAATTACACAGATGTGCCAGGTAATGAATTGATTACAATCTAATGTTTTCCCAGGTTGATAAAAGAAAAATACTGTCTCAGTGATCCTTTAAGTCACGCAAGTGTTATTAATGGGGGTAAAGAATCATTGTGAATTTGGTTTTGTGTTAAGTGCAATGTCTGTGAGCTACTCTGGCATCTGCTTGCTCTGTGGTGCTCTGTGACGTAAGTGCCCCCTGAATGTAGGTATATTCTTTGTAATATAGAATTTTATACATATGTATATCAGATCCTCAGGCTCTTTGGCATAGTATTGCTATGACTTTATTAACCAGCCTACGGGATAAGAGAGAAAGGGAGGCAGTGAGGGAAACTCGGCCGCCACAGGAGCACTCACCCTGCTTCCACCCAACCCCACCCTGTGCGCTCCTGCTTGCTGTCACCCATGGGTGTCACCCCTCTGAGCCTCACCCTGTCTTCATCTGTCAGAGGCAGGAGTATCACCTGCCCAAGGTGGTGGTAGGGATCAAATGAAATGATGCACATACCACACCCAGGCCTGCAGATTTCTTGAGTTTGTGAATTTTTAGCTATTTTTCCTATTTTGAGTGGCGTTTTCTCCAATCACAAGGAGCTGTGTGCTGTTACATAGTTCATGCCATCGCACAGTGAGTTGGCTCTGGGAGTTCTCCAGGCTGTCTCCTGGGTTTGCTTGGCTGTGTCTGGTCCTGTGGTGCATGCAGGGAGACTGTGTCCCTGAGCTGACCGTCCCCGCCTCCTGGCTCCCTCCTGCCTGCCAGTCCAGGGAGGTCCCGCCCTCTGTGGTCCCTCACCCCAAATGAGTACCCTGGGGACCTAGAATCGCCCGATGGGTGTGGCGGTGGCGTGCATTGTCCTAGCACAGGAGGAGCCATTTGAAACAGCGACTTTTGTCAATGATTGTCATTTCAGGAGTAGGATGTCAGCAGTCAATGCTCACTTCTTCATCCAGCAAACGCTGACATCCTCACCTTCACCTCTGTCCTCCTCCTGCTCTGAGTCATGACTCAAATGGGAGGCTCCTTCTTGTCCTGCCCCTGCCACTCTGCCATTAGAATGTGACTGGACACATTGTGTGTTCAGTAAGAAAAATGATAATAAACCAACATTTATGAAACACATTCTATACCAGGATTTCTAAGGGTTTCACACAGCCTCTGACCTGGCCAT